TAACCTCTCTCCATTTTTCAAAAGCATCTTCAATATTGATCCTAGTTTGAGCACGTTTCTGCTCGTGGAGCTTATTAGAAACATGCAGAGGCTTTTTAGGTCGGGTACAATCACTTCTATCTGAACCACTTCTCTTGACCGCTTCCATCACTGCAACACCTGTTGACCTGATAACTGCTCTCATATCTGGAAAACAGAGGGGCGTCCAAAACGGCCGTGTGGGGGTGTGTCTTAAAACCTCCTACCTTCTCTGGTCTCTCCATTTTTCAAAAACATCTCCAATATTGATCCTAGTTTGAGCACGTTTCTGCTCGTGGAGCTTATTAGAAGGTCTTTTACCTGCTTTTTGTAACATAACAATGAGTAAGGTCTTTTTACCTGCTCTTTTGTAATGTTATCAGACAAAGAGTAAAGTATTTTACCTGCTTTTTGTAAAGTGTCTTGAGATAACACTTGTTATGAGTTGACGCTATACAAAATAAATTGAATTGACTTGATTTGAATTAGAAAAATGCAGAGGCTTTTTAGGTCGGGTACAATCACTTCTATCTGAACCAATTCTCTTGACCGCTGTTTGAATAGAATCCAGCCGTCTTCACATTTAAAGTTCTCCGCTCTGAAACTTCCTGAGGAGAAAGTTCAAATGTTAAAGTGATTGTGACTCTTTGCCCTTTTTGTCATCTTGCAGGTGTGGGATCAGTCATCGGTGTGAGTCCAGGTCGATCAGGATTGGGGTTGAAGAGAAACCTTTGAGAGATCGTTGATCCACTCTGAGTGCAAGCACACACACACACACACACACACACACACACACACACACACACACACACACACACACACACACACACACACACACACACACACACACACACACACACACACACACACACACACACACACACACACACACACTCTGACTAGAGCTTTCATTGGGCGAGATCCCGCGGTCGATTGGGTGGCAGGGAAACTTTGCTGATCTACCGAGAAATAGAATCTACTTTATAAAATATAAAAAAAATAAATAAAAAAAAGTTGTATATATTGCAGTGTGAGTTTTTATAGAAAATGGGAACAGTCGGCTGGGGAAGCCACGTCTATTTTTTTTAAAAACGAGTTTGTAAAGATGATGCAGGGAGATTCTTGATGACATTGGTTAGGAAATAAAAGATCAACATTTCATTAGAGTCTGATGGAATCATGTTCAGTTTCCTTTCTGTGCAGAAAACAAAACATTTAATTTCTCCTATAAATAATGAAGAGAAAGAAGGTGGGACACTTTGCACAGCAGTCTGACTTGAACAGGACTTAAAACCTCCATCTTGTTACACGAGCTGTCGTCCTCGCTTGGGATCAAACCTGCGGTCCTCTCGACTATAAAGCCTTTTAATATATAGCTGCATATATTTGCTTTATTGACAGTTGTCGCCCAGCCATAGTTTGCAAAACAATTATTAAGCAATGTTTAGCTCCAAGTGTTACTTGTGTTGTTTTAAGCTAACCTAAGACCAAGAAACCTGCAGCTCTGCCTCTTAATGCTGGACGTCGTGCGGCCAGGCTGGCTGGTGCCGCTTCAGCTTGCTCCGAGTCTGCCACCCACCGCTGCTGCTCATTATGGTACAGATGTCCTGTTTCTGTGCAGTTAATATGAAGTCTAGTAATTTGTCAGGGGTTGTTACTTTCTCGCATCGTTTCTTTAGCGCCGGTAAGAGCACGCCCCCTCGTCACATCAGTGAGCATGACTAACTCGTCGCTTTTCGATCTTGATTCTCTCTATTGGTTGTTCTTTTCTGTCATGTGTTCACTTGACTTTGCATACAATAAGTAGACATTGATGTAAGACAGTGATTTAAGATTTTCTTGATTTTTAGAGCTGTAAAACAGTACATGCATTAAACATGGTTGAAGTGTCTGTTTCCTTCTTTGTGATTTGTGCTTCAGATATTCCACCGCCGCTCAGCTTTAAAGAGGACATATTATCCCCCTCCTCCACCTTTTCAAACAGTCCCCTGTGGTCTAAATGAAACATCTGTGCTGTGCTTTGGTCAAAATATAACATGAATCAAGCACCAGAGGAGGTTTGTGACCCTGTATAAACCAGCTCTCTCAGAACGCTCTGTTTTGGTGTGTGTGTCTCTTTAAATGTAATGACCCCCCTCCTGAGTTTTCCCAGTAGACATCACTCCTTCACTAGCGAAAAAAAATGGCGGACCTGTGCAAAAGTTTTTTCTAGACTGGGGGTGGAGTCCATGGGTGAACATACCAGGGGAGGGGAGGGGATTATTTTTTTTTTTTACCAGAATTCCACTGTGACATCACAAGGAGAGCACATTTGAAACAGAGCATTTTTCTCTGTGTTGTAAGACTTATGCAGACCACAAACAAAGGAATGGATGGGTTTATTTCACGTTGTGGGTCAGTAGACACTCAGGTTACCCAAATATATGTTCAGAAACAAATATTGGATTTTTCATATGTCCCCTTTAAAGGTAACATATTCTCCTCCTCTTCAACCAGCGTAAATAAGTCTAATAACACATTAGTGTTAGAGGAACATGGTGAAGTGTGTTTATGGCCTTTGACCTTTGATCAGTGACAGCAGGTATCAGGTGCAGCTAGCAGACGACACAGTAGGATTAGCTAGTTTATTTCTCTTTGAATTCTACAACAATGTAATGCTCTTTAAAGTAAATCCAACAAAAAAAAATATTCAGACTGAACAAGGAGCACTTGTTACAGGAGATTGCTATGTACATCTACACACTGTGGTGACAGACAGGAGAGGGGTCAAAGTGCTTATCAAACAGACAGGAAGAAAAAAAACAAAGAGAGGAGGAAATCAAACAAAAGCATGAGTGATTCCTTTGTGAGAGACCCGTAATCAATCTGCACACACGCACACGCCAATTGATTTCTGGGCCGCAGCAGAGACCCTTCTGATTGAGCACATCACTGTGAGTGAAGACAAATACAACTAATGCACACCAAGAAAAACTTTTTGGGAGGGGGGTGGATAAAAGCAAAGTAAGGGATCAACCTGGCAACATATGTCAAACCCGCCCTCCTCCTCCTCCTCCACCCGCCGTCACACGCACACACCCAACCAGCAGCCATAACGCTCATTGCAATACCGAACAGCACGGCACACATTCACTTTGATGCTGATGCACTCAAGTGGCAGTGTCTACTTCAACGTCATGTGCAAAAAAATAGCCTGTTATTTCTTTTTGTTTTATTTTTGAAGAAAATTCACATTCATGGATTCTTGAACAAGACGAGCCTGTGATGGTAAAAACAAGAGTTATTAGTTCATACTTCTGCAGAGAGGGGGGCTGAACTTTGACCTCAGGTTGGACAGATTGAGGAGCCTCATACAGCCATCTTTGATGTTCTCCCTCCTGGACTTCGATTTTTATCAGAATCTAAAAGAAAAAACTTGAAGTGTTGCCCTTTAACAACAGGACAAAAACCTGAGGGAGGAGGGATGAATCATTTGTTTAGGAGTGTTGAATTAGGATTATAATCAGTCTAATAAGTGAGTGTTTGCACAATGAAAAACAGCTGTTTGGATGGTTTGGATTAGAGAAGCTGCTGAATGGAATGAATGTTTGGCCCGTTAACACCTCTCTTCCTGCAGGGCAGCCATGCTTGTTCAAGTGTTTTTCAATGACAGTAAATCTACCACAACGACCGCTCGTCCTCATGTGCTGGGAGCAAACGAGTGCTGCGTTTAGTTAAAGTGGAGCTGTTCAATGAAAAGTTCAGCGAGAGACAAACACTTCAAGCCCGTTGCTGTTCTGACCTCTGTAAAAACCCGGGCACTGCCACACACATCAATCACCAGCGCTACATTTAATCCAACACAACGTGGTGAAGACGAGATCAGAGGGCCACTTCCTGTTTGACTCTTTGAGTAAATCAGAGACTTCAGCAGTCACACTGAAACCAGAGTCTGCCGTCGCTCAGATACTCCCGCTGACTGTCAGGGGAAACAAAGGCTGTTCTGGATGATGTGAAGAGTGAGCTCAGTGCACTGACGGGCTGCTGTGCAGAGGAGAGGTAGTGTTGGATGGGTCTGAATGGAGGATGGTTTGTGTTGATGATGATGCAGGTTCAGACTGCTCTTGTGTGTCAGTGCATCCATCAGCTGACACTAAAGAGAGAAACCAACTATTGTCCCTCAAACACTGATTATCCTGCGGCCAATCGAATTGTCTGGAAGTTTAAACAGCAATGGAACACAAAACTTGAATCAAAATAAATACAACGATCAGGGGAAAAAAACCACTGCAGCATTAAAAACAGGACACCCTGCTTGGATCATTAAAAAACGACGACACACCTGTTCTCTCTTGGACAGGTTGTAAAATCTTCTGTCTGCAATCAAGAAAAGAAAACAAAGAGTGGAAAAACAGTTCTTGGTGACTAATTAAGTGAGCCACTATTGAGATACTCTAAACATCTGGAACTGCTATATAGGTATCTGAATATATTATTTCATTCATTATGTTACAAAAACAAAGTGTTTGTGTGTGTGCTAAGGAGGTCACTGAACGGGTTCCAGACAGAGCGGGCCTCTCGCTGAAGCTCTCCTCACACGCCCTGCTGCTGCTCCACTTTACTCCACGTCTCAGCCAATCACTGCAGAGAGATCCCAAGTGAAGGCAGCGGTAGAATCACGTAAAAAAAAAAAAAGAGGGATTATTCTTGAACGTGGATCTTTTGAAAGCGTGTCATTATGACATCCACAGAACTGAAGATTAAAGTCCAGCTCCCAGTGCCTGCTGGGTAATTCTTTTAACGAGTGGCTGTTGAGAGTGAAGGGCGTGAAGGTGTGGGGCAACGGGAGAGATGACGACCTTTCAGTCAGTCAGAGCGAGAGAGACACACACACACACACACACACACACACACACACACACACACACACACACACACACACACACACACACACACACACACACACACACACACACACACACACACACACACACACACACACACACACACACACACACACACACACACACACACACACACACACACACACACACACACACACACACACACACACCTCATCTTCTGTCTGACAGCACGCCGCAGGCTCATGTTGAAGGTTTCCTCTACATCACCAAGTGCTCTGCATGAAGGACTCAGTCACTCACAGCGAGTCGCCATGACAACAAAAACAACATCATCTTGTTGTGAAGTGTTCAAAGGAAAGGTGGAAAACAACCTGCTGCAGGAATCCGGCGCGTGATGACGGGCTCAATCTCAACACTAACACCCCGTCTGAACGCAGACAGAAGCGCTGCGAGCTGCGTCCTGTTGTTGTGTTTATGTTTACACACACACATACATGTTAATCACTGTAACCATGCAGAGAGGTGTGCTCAGTCCAGGCACGTTTAAGGATCAGTTCACCCCTAACAAAACAAAACTAACTCCTCACATTGAGAGACTGAGGGGGGGGGGGGGGGTCAGCAGGCGGGGGTTTAAAAGTTTAAAGTTTAGATAAATTGATTTACATAAGGTGAATGTTTGATCAACTAGTGTTTTACTCCTTGAGATCGGTCTTGGTCTAAAGACTCATTTTTGAAGGTCTTGGTCTCAGAATCTAAATAGTTTTCACTCTGTCTTTTCTCTGTCTGTCTTAGACAGACTCCGGATGTTAAATGAAGACCACTTTATTAATCTGTCTTCAGTCAACAATCTTAAATAACCAAACAGCTGAATTACAGTCTGTATGACGTCATCGTTGTATCCGCCTCCTCTTAAATATTAAAATACTGAAATGTTGTGTCATTCAAGTCTCTTTGAGTTGAGGTGTACGGAGAGTGAAAGGGTGGAAGAGGTCACAGCGCTGCAGCAACACTCGGAGTACGAAGATCAACTTTATTAACGTCATTAGACCCGACGCGTTCCGGTGTGTAACCTCCATAAAGGTCGTTTTAAAACGTTAATAAAGTTGATCTTCGCACTACAAGTTTCTGACAGTCTGCAAACTAAAGCCCCGTGTCCATCTAGTGCTGGCTGTGAGCTCGAACAGCTTGCATGTACGTCTGTCCTGTCTCTATGACAACAATCTGTTAACAACGGCCGCTGCATGACCGACACTGCTCTGTTACTTTTTACTGCATGTTTTATATTTCAGATCGTTTTTTACCCGATCAGACACGGAGTGAGGAGGATGTGAATACAAGATACAACCTGTAGGAGACAAAACTACAGGGAATATTAAACATTAAGAAGAGCGCCGGGGACGTCAACAGCGCCTTCCTGAAAAGTTGAACGATTTTCAACATGTGCTCTTAAAGCAGTCGCACAATAAAGAGTGAGAGCTCGGAAAAAATTCTCTGGGCGCTGCACTTTTTCCTCCATGCGGCCGCTTTCTGCAGCGAACACTCTCTACCCTTTGAAAACAATTGAAAAAAGACGCTGGCGCTCAGAAAAAAAACGCCATGGAGACACGGGGCCTAAGACTGCTGAAAATCTAACCACGAGGCTTGTAACGGGCCAGAGGTCAGTGTCAGTGGGGGGAGGGGGGGGTGAACTGACCCTTAGGACCGCCCCCTGTACAACAACACAGGCAGCAGCTGTCCAAGTATCTGTCAGGGAGTATCGGATGATTCCAAGTCGTTTCTCAGCGTAATCCTCCGCAGAAAAGAAGGAGTCCAAGCAGGAAGATGAAGATAAAGAAGTCTGAAGTGTGGGTAAGCCAAATGTACCGACGCCCTCCGAGAGACTTGAGCAACACAGTGACACCTCCGCCCGCCTGATCCTACAGGCACCAGGATGTCCATTCTCACTCCTCCAGTCTTTGAGTGCAGACCTGTCAATGCCACACAATCTCACACACACACACCGCCTCATTCAGGGTGCTCTCTCCATCACGCCGTCACACCATTAAGCTATTTCCTCCACGCCATCTTTCTGTATATACACATTAAATTCCACATCTGCAGCGCACACACACACATTAAGTTCATGGGACATTCTGTGGAGATCCTGTGCTCTTTTTTTCAGCAGTGCGCCTCCGTGTGTCAACAGCTGGTGGTTCAGTTTGCTCTCCTTTTCCCCTAGTCCTCTGAAACTCAATTAGAGCTGGCTGCGATGGGTTTCTCCAGCTCCAGATCCAGGGGAGCCGGGCCCAGCTGAAGGCTCCCGTAGCAGGTCTTACAGACGCGGGTGGGCTCAAACAGCTGCTGGCTTGGCACGGGGATCTTCTGGTCACAGCAGCTGGCACAGAACACGTTACCACAGTTCCTGCAGAGAGACACAGACAGGGGGATGATGGACCCTCGGGTAGAGGTCTTAGGTCTGAAGGGCTGTGCAGCTCCTCTTAAGTCTAGTTTTAACACAGCTGCATTGTGTTTCTAAAGCTGTCTTCATCACAATCATGCACGAGTACAGCCTCCCTTATCTTAATGATGAAAACTAAAAACAGTTAGGGGGCCTTTGGGAAAAAATATGTATCATAGAGATGAAGAAGAACAAACTAATGATTAATAAAAACCTAAAAAAGGGCTTCAGGGACATTTATGAGGATTTGTATCAGAGGTTCAGATTGTGAAGGAGGGTTCACCGTCATGGTCATTATAAAACTGAATAATTGTTTCATACTGAGATGTGTTTGGGGCCATTGTTCATGTTTATAGTGACAGGCAGAGGACACAAAGGAAGGTGGAGAGAGGGAGGAGTCAAACCCACGTCAGTGCAGGACAACTTGGTTTGGGTAAAACGAGGCGATCTAACCGGACACATCTTCTGATTTACTGTTCTGCCTTCGCCTTTGGGTTAACACGAGATTAAAAAAACGACTTTTTGGGAGTCTATCAATCTCTCAAAATATGTTTGGACGCCACTGAGAAGTACATTTTAAAAATGAGTCATGAATCCATGTTTGTAGTTTAATTATTACTATTACTTATTATTATTAGTTTTATTATTAATTATTAATCAGCCCGTTGAAACATAATCACTGGACAAGGAGACGGAAAACAGTTCAGGCTCAGATTGAGATGTAAGGCCATGCTCACATTTACATATAGAGCTGCCCTTTGACCCTGCCTGCACCCACCTGGAGTTGATGTCACTGACTTTTAGTCTCCACTATGAGGGGGGAGGGGGGGGGGGGGGAGGGCGCTATGTTCTCTCAGTACCATGCTGTGCTGCTGGCAGGTGAGATGCAGAGCGCTGGTTTGGATAAGCATGCTGCCAGGGTGGGTAACGAGGGCAATGGGGAGGTGTGGGTGCGGGTGAGTTGCTATGGTAAGTGTTTTAAAAAGATTTTTTTTTTTCTTTCAAAATTTAGCGGATGAAATAACAATCAGCCCTCGACCAATCCCAGCTCTGCCGTTAACAGCACCATGCTCACAGCCAATCATAAAGTGCTGCATAGCCACACTGATGCTGCAGGAGGAACATTCAAGTCCCTGAGAAATCACTGACAACCACAAACAGAATGAGGGGAAACAGATGCAGTCTGTGAGAAGGGGGGGGGGGGAGACAAAGGGAGCTATGTGAATAAGGAGACTGAGGAGAAAGGTGCAGCGATGTTTGGGGCGAAGGGTTGAGGGTGGGGGTGGGGAAGGGGGTGGGAGGGAGGACAGGGGAGCCGGATCTCACCAAACCTCCTGGACTGGCTCCCTGCCACTGTAGAGGAGAGGGGCAGACAATGGATGAACACTTCCTTGGCAGTAGAGGACACTCAACACGCTTCTCACTACTCATAACATCTAGGATTGACAACTAGGAAACAACTACTTTCATTCTTAACTTTATGCTTTCAATCCATGTATAAGAAAACTATGACATATTGTTTCTACAGAGCAGACTACATAATGCAGAGCATAATGAATCCACTAATTTCAAGCAGCTAACTTCATAAATCCAGCAACAAAGAGAGAGAGGGAGTCGACAGCAGAGGGCAGCAACATGAGGTCATGACAAGAGTGGAGAATCAGGCTTATGTGCAACTCTAGATGCACTTTGGAAAATTCAGGAATCAGTCTGACTGATAGTGGGGTAAAAAAGAACAGCTAGGATGTCCCTGAACTTTGTTTAAGAGTAACACTTAATCATAACGGGCCTGTGATACTCAGCGTCTTGCCTAACTTGATTTACAATATATGCAAGGTGTCAAAGCTGGAGCTGGAAACTTTTATACCAGCATTTGCATTTTAATACAAATGAGCAACTCCAAAGGTCACCAGTGTGGTGTTGAGCTGTGCTCTGTAGAAACACGAGTGATGGAGAGTATGTGGAGAGGAAGTATAGTCCCATCAGAATTGGTCACTAAATGTGAACTGACAGACATTGTGGCTGGATTCAGAAACAGTCAGGATGTATCTGGACACTAGAATCTCCATCTGGACAGAAGATGTGTGAACTTAGTGGATACATCGCTTTAAGGAGTGGTTGATGGCAGGGGGAGATGACTGAAGGTTCTATAAGCTTTGCAGGCAGATATCCCTCAGTAATTACCTGCAGTGATGCTTCCTCGCGGCGAGCCAGAACCTGCTCTCACAGCCGTAACACTGGGCTGCCAAATGGTCTGGGTACCAACGGGTCACCTGGAAAGCACAGCCCGGTCTCAGTTCACAGCTTTGATCTGAGCAGCAAACCTATCAAACGTTATCCACTGTCATTTCTACAGAGATCTTGGGTCTGCAAAAATGATCTGTAGACTAGCCTGGCTGCTCACCTCAGTGTCCTGCTTGTCCACCTGCTCCCAGCTGGCTTCAGAGAAGAACTCTGTGCTACAGCGTGACAAACAGTTGGGGTCCAGGTTGTATTCGGAGTCTGTCATTGAGGTCTGCATGAAAGAAAACACACAAAAAGAAAATGCATTGTAGTGCAGCTCAAAAGTAAGGGGCAGTATTGAACAGATGTGTCTGATTCTTTTAATTGTTCAGCATCTTACCATTTCATCTCCCATGTCTCCGTTGACCCGGTGGGAGCCACAGTGCTGCTGGTTCTCCAGGCGGCTCCACAGCTCCTGCACCTGTTTCTTTAGAGTCTCCACCTCCATCTGGTGCCCCGCCTCAATCTGCCTCAGTCTCTGCTGGATGGCGTCTGTGTGCAGCGTTAGCCCGTCATCGTCCAGATGGCCGCGGGACGGCTGCTCGGGGCTGATTGCAGCCCGACCCAGCAGGGCATGGCACCAGCGGTGCTGGGAGCAGCTGCCCCGTGGATGGAGGATCAGGGAGTTGCAGCTCGCCAAAGACACCTGTCGACTCAGTGGGGCCTTCTCCCCGTTTCCTTTGGCCAAGTGAGGTCCTCCGCAGGGTTCCCCCTCTGAGTTGTCGCCGTTGCAAAGCCCATCCCTGATGATGGGGTCACCGCCGACGGACTGAAAGGCACTAACAGACGGATGCTTGCTGCCCCCGTTTAAAGTTCTGAAAAAGCCATGCTCACCTAGCTCAAGTCCTTTTTCTTTCCTGGAGCAGGGAGGATGGCTCCTGCCTTCACTGCAGGGCTGCCGACTCGGGCAAACAGGCAGATGTGCGGGCAGCTCCAACCTGGTGCAGCCCTCTTCAGTTAAAGTCTCTGTGGAGCTTTCCATCAGGGATGCCCTCTTATCCACCTGATCCACCTGCTCCAAGTCACCTCCACTATCAGATTCAGAGTGAGGGCAGGGCTCCTCATCCACATCTCGCTCTTCAGGTGAGCTGTCCACATAGCCATTAGTTAAAGTTCTCTGGGCCACTGGCTGATTTGGTTCACCTGAGCAGGGCTCCACATGTGGAAGCTCCTCTTGTGCAGAGGGGTTCTCTACATCCTGCTTCACTAGATCATCTGCTGTCTGAGGGACCTCAGCTGCTTGTTCTTCCAATTTCTCTGATTCCTGTGCAGGAAGAGGGAGAAATACATCCTCCTCGGCCTCCGTTACCTCATTCTCTCGATGGTTACCATTTGCAAATGTTTCTGTCTGGATGTGAGTGCCCTTCACCTTAGCACATAGGTCATCTTCCTCAGCTTGTGCTTCTCTCCCCACCTCTGTGTCAACAGTGTTAATGACATGCGGGACAACAGTACTTTCCTCTGTCTGAACTTCTGCCAATGCCTCCTCCTTAGTGGCTTCCTGCAGGATGTTCTCCATCTGGCCCTCGGCCACACCCACAGCCACAGAGAGCTCCGCCTCCTCTGCTTCCTCTACTGTTTCTGCCGGGCTGCCGGAGGCTCCCTGTCCCAGCTCAGCATGTGTGACTCTGGGCTGAGGGCTGTCGTCCAGCTCCGAGTCCCCTCCCTCGAGGTAAGGCCCCACTCTGTTGGGTCGCACCTCCTGATCCTGGTTCCCCACTCCCTCAGGCCCCACTGCCATGTTGAGCTCCAGAGAACGCCGGTGGTCCTGCCATTTCTCATTGAGGCTCGGGTCACTGGAGCGCCGGTTAGGAGCCAGAGAATTTCCCAGCTCACATGCACTTGGCAAGTTGTCAAAGGAGCGTGTCTTTGTACGCCTGAAGAGAAAAAGAGGGAAGAATTATGGACTGGAAACAGATTAGGTTATCCAAAAACAGTGTTTGACCACCTACGATCCAACCTGTAGCTGCATACATAATCACACAAATACTGTCAGCATATAAGGTGTTATCCATCAATCAATCCTTATTTGTAGAACTACAATTCAGGTTATATGAATACACTTTACATTAAGAGCAGGTCTCATACTCCTTGTTATATTATTTATAAAGACTACATTAATCCATCATGAGCACGAAGCAACATTTAGCAAAGTTACAGTGGAGAGGAAAAACAGAAACATAACGTTATCATCATGTACATTTAAAAAGAAAAAAAGAAGAAAATAATTCCGTGTCTGTCTCTTTAAGTGAAAGCATGTTGTTGTAAACGACGTCAACATGAAAGTGAAACTACTCCATGACGACACAGGTGTCATGAGAAGATAAGCAGAGGGTTAAACTGTATCTGCGGCTGTGAGGACATGAGCAGAGAGGAGGTTAACACTGAGGCCCCTCTGGCTGTGGGGGGTCCTCCACCTGTGTTTATCTTACATGAGCGACGAAGAGGGGGAGGGGGAGGTCGAGTGCCAGCATGCCAGGCTCACCTGGCCAGGGGCGTGTCCTCCGGGTTGCAACCAGGCACAGGGTAGGGGGCACAGGAGTCATCTGAGGGGGTAGTGGGAGAGGAGCTGGGCAGGTAGACCGCAGTCCACAGCATCAGGTTGCGAACGTGACACACGGGGTGCAGAACCTGAAAAAAACGATGCAATGAAATCAGAAAACAGACCTCGACACGTGTTGAAGTAAAGACGGCATGAAATGTCTGCCTTCATGTTGCAGCTGAAGTCTTGACACACTATCCTTACATTTAGGTTAACGACATTGTCTGACTGCTCATCGTTATAGTGAATAGTTTCAACTGATAACATATCTACACTCCTGCACTTTAACATATATATCTTTGATTGCACAGCCATGAATTTGCACAGCTCTGGAGAACCCTCTATATCGTTATTGCACATTTACCACTGTCATCACACTGTCAAACTTACATCTCTTACCTCCAGCAAATATTTTTACATTCAGTTGACAAGACTGAATAAATACTGTATTTAATTTTTTTTTTTTTTTTTTTTAAACCAGTAGGAAAAATTAAGTAAATCCTTGATGTATAAATCTCTTCCTATTCTTATTTTTTTATATATACATAAGTGCTTATTTATGAATCTATTCTTATATTGTTTTATTTGATAACCTGCTGCTGTAACACCACAATTTCCCAGTTTGGGATCAATAAAGTAATTCTATTCTATTCTAATCTATTTCTGCCTGACTTTGACAGTGAGTCCTGAGGAGGCTAAACCTCGTAAACTTCACCTGCCCTAATGTTCTTTATTCAACATAGCTGCTTGGAAAGACTTTTTCTACATGCTTCAAATTGTTGGTTTAAGGTTATGAAGATAAATATAGTCTTTTTATAAACCAGAACGAGAGGTATGTTATTCTGAACAGTGGACGTACAATCTCGGAGTGTGAGGAGTACAGCATGTTCTTCAGGGTGCGGTTGGCCGGTCTTAGCAGCGACCACACAGAGCAGGTCCTCTCCTGAACGTGCCGGTCCTCCCTCTCCTTGCCGCTGTTACACAGGAAGGTGCCAAATAGACAGGAGTAGGTGTGCTGAACGAGTTTCACCTGCGTTACACAAATTAAAGAAAAAACATGTCGAGACTTGTAAACACATCACATGTATGAGGAAAAGCAGAGATTACAGCAGCTTCCTCATTTGTCTAATGAACAAACCCACAACTGTCACTGCAACGCAAACAGTCGTCTTTACACGTCAAGCAGAGCGCCTGTCTACACCGTTACATCCTCAAGGGTCTGATCTCAAATACTTTGCAGAATCAGGATTCACACCGGTTGTGCAGATTTACATTTACACAAAACAATAACTAATCTCTAAACCTCAAAAAATTATTGAGGTTGACTGTGATTAAATAACAAATAGAAAGATATGACACCATTACTCGGGTAATTATGTAAAAAAAAATGTCTGCATACCTCATCTCTCACACAACACACTAATCTCTCCGATATGTAGCAAGAGCACGCTCAAATGTATTTGTCAAGTCAAAAACAGATAAAATGCATGATGTGCATCGCAGCGTGCAAGGAACGTTTTTCATCACACAGCGTTAATCATGTACAAATCTTATTTAGAGTGCCAAGAGGATGTGTTGGCATCTTAAATAATTCACATTCATATTGATCCTGCGGTGGCGTAATATTGGTGTCGGAGTCTGTGAGGTCACATTGCGTTTTAGCGTTGTAGAAGCACGGCACAGTCAGACATGCACACACACACACAGCGCTGCGCTCTCCTGCTGGCTCAGCTGATCCCGTCTCTCCTCTGTAACGCCTCTGTTACTACCTCTTAAGACGGTACAGTGAAGGGGGTCACTTAGTCCCCCCTTTACGCTGCTGTGACATTTGGATTGAGGGCGTAAATAATCGCAGCTTAAAGCGGCAGTCTGAACTGGGCTTCATCAAAAGGGGAAATGACAGTAAAAACCAGTTAGAGGTAAATTAAAACTTTACTTATTCTGTGCAAATGAGAGACACACAACAACACTACAGGAGCATAATCTCTGGATCACATGAGGCCCCCCCTGGTCGGTTCAAGATTTTCCCCATTAAACCTGTACTCACTAGGAAGGCCTCATTAAACTCAAAGGAGCATGGGAACTGTCTCTGCAGCTGGTGAACACAGTCCAGCCACTGAAGGAAGACAGGACAGCGCTCATTCAAGTCCTCAGAGTTCTCTCCATGACCGCATCGATCTGCAAACTTGTGGCCAAAGTCCAGCCACTCGGTCTCCACCAAAACCTGGAAGCCCTGCAGGAAGACCAAGCACGGTCAGAAGAGTTTTAATGTGTGTGTCCCCTGAGTGTAAAAAAAATGTTGACAATTTCCAGAGTAAAGATTTTAACTGTACCTCAATAGTGCGGTAGAAAGGGTCCAGCAGCAGCTTCGATAAAGCCACGATCTGAGGAGTCCGGTCCCAGCCGTCAGAGCAGTGCACCAGGACCGGCCTGTGGTCTCTGTCCACAGCATTAACCACCAGCAGCGCTGCCTTCAACAGCAGGGAGAGATGCTGCAGCCACTTGGTGCTCTCCAGCGCAGAGAGCCAGCTGCAGGCACACAGCAACAGAACAAAACCATCAGAGGACATTAGGACTACCTAGCTCATCTAATCTGGGTTACTTTTCTAAGCACTGTGTTGGTTCAGTTTAACTGATACACCCGGGAGGTCTGTGATCCAGTTAGCATAGGAGCACTCAAACAAACTGGACTTTAGGGGTGAAACGGTCTTGGTCATGGTACGGTATATGTATGTATGATTATTTATAATAATCACATAAAGAAGCCCAAAGTTATGAAGCTCTCAGGGTATTACCTGTAAGATCCGATTAAACATGCTAAGCTGTGAGCTAGATTTGTGAGGCCTTTCTTTTTTGTTATGTTTCTGATTTGAAATTCGAACCATTTTCAACAACATCCCCTTAAGCCAGCGTGACTTAATGACACGTCATTTTAGCATTGGAGTCTAGGAGTCCAGATGGAAAGAAATCCTCAGATTGGGGTTGGGATGGGATTTCTAAATCAGGCACAGATGTGTTTACTGATTCCTACAGTTACTACAGCAAAAAAGCTTGAGAGATTTGGATTTGGTTTATTGTCTGAGGAGCTTTACAATTACAGCAAGGGGAAAATGAAGGCATTGCTCGAGGTATTACAAAAAAAACCCTACTTAGCTGGGTCAGGCATCTGAGTACAGAGGAACCGCAGAGATTGGAAACTCTTGCGAATGGAGTGGATGTTGGCCATGCCCATAAACACCACCTCACAGTTAGGATAATATTCTGGAACCAGAGGAAAAAAGTGAGGGAGAGAAAAAAAAGAGTGGTGGCAGTTTTAATCATAGTGCTCACAGTTTACAGATCTCAGGCACACACTGAAATAATTCTGACTAAAAACTCTGGACTTGGCTAAGAAGACCCACCTGGGCATTCACAGCCTCCCCCCTTGGCTCGGTTAGCCACAGCCGCAGCGTAGGACCGGGCATCCAGGATCAGTAACTTATGGGGCTGGATGGCCAACGTCTCCACCTCTGAGCTGTTGGTCATGGAGGATTCTAATACGGACACAACACACAGCACGATCATCTCTCAGTTACACTCAGACTGCATGAAAACCATGAAGAGGGTTTATATGTCATCGAGACACAGTCAGCAGAATCTAAATGAAGACATGAGATTCTCCTGTGGTCCATATGTCTGCTAACCATGCAGAGAACGAGCATCCTGTGTGTGTGTGTGTGTGTGTGTGTGTGTGTGTGTGTGTGTGTGTGTGTGTGTGTGTGTGTGTGTGTGTGTGTGTGTGTGTGTGTGTGTGTGAGAGCGAGTGTTACTCACCCACAGTGAACTCTTACCAAAGTCTGTGTCAGACAGGTCAGAGCCGTTAGTGTACCCGCCGCCGTTGGACAGGTGCTTGTGCGAGCTGCCGTCGACTGCGCAGGCCTTGGCGATGGACTGCACCAGGTGCTCGTCGTCAGCGTTCCTCCAGCCCCACCAGCTGACCTCAGGTTGACCGCAGCGGGCGATCACGGCCCCAGTTGTCTGGTGCCTGGAGGAGTCACAGTCATCGAGATGTCATATGCGTCTTCATCAGGGGATTATTATTTACTGCTGTGTCCTTGATTAAATGAAATGTTTCCACTTTGTCTTTTATAAGTGTTGTTGTTTGGACTTCTCTTACTTTTATACTAGTCATTAAGACTTCCCATCTCATTGATTTCATCGTTGATAAATCTAGCTGTGTTTCTTCTGATTAAACATTAAAAACGTCAAATGTCAAAAAAAGTCCCTGCACGGTTTCCTGCGGCCAAGGTGCTTTTAGAAAGAAGCATCAATGTCTTCATTTGAAATCAGTAGTAGCTATGTATTCCTTCCTTTGGTTGAAGTATAAGTCCACCTAAGAGTATTTTACAATGTGGCCCTCTGGCAGTGAGAATTAAATTAATGTGGCCCTTGCTGTCACTAAAGTTGCCCATCCCTCCTCTAACGGGTCAAAAGCTGGTTGACTTCAGCCAAGGGCGAAAAGGTTGAGAGCCTATGCCTTTAACTTCAACCCAAAGCAAACTTTAATAGCTGTCATTTCTGGATTACTCTCACAGTCTTTCTTCTCTGGATGGCGTAGTTTTACAAAAACAAAGTAATAAAGTCATGTATACAAACTCAAAATACTGTAGTGCTGAATTTAGAAAAGTTAAGTTGAAGCTGTTTTTTCAGCAATTACTGAAAAATCCAGAATATAAGGCACACCATGGTCAGTTTCTGTCGCTCTTTTAGCACAGTCTGTTTTCTCTTCGTGGAGTTTGCACTCCTACTAGCTACAGTACGGTAGTTAGTGAAAGTTCTGCAGACTGGAGACTATTGGACGCACAGAGGTGATGTCAGGGTGCAGACATGCTCCTGCACAACACAAACAATGAATGGGTTTGAGAGCAGCGCCCACCACGTCCTATCTGAAAGGCGCTTTAGCTGCAGCGCACTTTTCCAATGAAAAAAGTGTTTTTTAGAGTGCATCTTAAAGTGTCTTTGAGTTTTCAGAAAAGCACTATACAAAACTAATGTATTATTATTATTATTATTATTATCTTACAAACTGGATTTTGCAGTAGCCTTTTGTCTGAGTAGCCAAGTCCAGAGTAAAGTCTTCACAGTGGTATTCATAGAACCCTTGAAGATATCATGTGAAGATGGTTTGATTCATTTAACTAACAAAAAGGGCAACCAGCCAATCAGAAGCTTTTGATACGTGGGTAGTAGTAGACAGGTTTAGTAATCTGCAGATCTGAAACAAACTCACCTGTAAACCACAGCAGGAAACCTCTTCCAGGAGCGGAAGGCGGCCACATTTTCCAGCTCCTTGTCAGTGATCCAGGCGGGCACCAGGAGCTGCTGAGGATAGCTGGGGCACAGCCTGGCAGAGCAGAGGGAGCAAAGACGAGCGAAGGGGATTAGGGTCATCAGTGGTGGTTAAACAAAAAGTCTCTTCATAGCACCAGTAGAGTAACAAAAACACATCAAGCACTGTTCAACAGCACACACCGGCCTGTGCTGAGGCCATGGGGGACAAACTGACCTTCTGCTTGTGAGTTACAGAAATCAACACAGGAGCAAGAACCTTGAATGAAAGCCATTATTACCTGAACTTGCTGTTGATGTCAGATATCCTCCAGGCATTTTGAGTGTCAAAGCCCATCCTCTCCACCTCGTTCTTGAACCAGGAGGTCACGTGTTCCCCTACAGACAGAGCACAGATGTCCGATAAGCCACAAGAGTTCAGCCAATGTTCTGCTGTGGTCATGTGAGTGCTGTGAGAGGCAGTCGGGTACCTGGTCTGCACAGCTCGCCGTGCTGTTCCTTCTCCCCGGCGTATACATTCATGCACCAGGCGTGGAATGCAAAAGAGAAGAGGTCCTCCAGACGAGTCGGGGGGCGCACTACTGAATTCAGGCGTTTCAGCCACTCCTGACACTGCTCAAAGGTGGAGAACTGACACCTTGGGATCCAACAGAGAAGTCAGCATTAAACCCCAAACATGCTATAAAATATTGTTATTATTATATTTATGATACAGCTGAAGAACTGCCTGAGGCGTTATACTTTGTTTGGGGTAAGCACACACGTCCTGACCAAATTATTACCGATGTAGTATCTCTTAATCAAAGCTTTAAGGGACGGTCGTGATTTACAAACATGTGGATTTTCATTTATCAACTAAAAAATCTAAGTGCTAATGCAAACTCTCACATACGGAGCGGGATATATATTTTAGGATGTTAGCTTGACGCTAACACATTATGGAAATTGCCATTAACAGGCTAAGGAAATGGAACGAGATAAGAGATTCTTTTGAAAAAGCAGAGCTGGATTTTCTGGCACAACTTCACCAATCATCATGGGTCATGAACAAATTAGACTGACGCGTTTCATCTCGTGGCCTTCATCAGGGTCTCGCTGGCCACAAGCCTTTTGATTGTTATTATTTTGTCCACCCAAGGGATCAACACCATCCTGGATCAATCAATAGGCTTAAGTCAGTCTGCCCTCGATCTCTCCTCCTGTGTCTGCCTCCAACGAGAACTCGCGCACATTCACACACTCCGGCCTTACCTGATGACTTTGCAGTCCTTACAAGTGACATGCAGCTGGAACATGTCGCGACACTCTGCACATTCAATGAGTTGAAGAGGAACCTGTGAACGAGAGAGAGAGAGTGATCGTCCAGTCAAACTTTGATGAACTGGTTGAGGTGACACGTTGCAGAATGACACGTGCAGTCAGTACAAGAAGTGTGGGAGACTGCAACTCATGCATACAGACCATAATAGTAACACATTAAGCAAATTAGTGGTGGTTAAAATGGCAGAAAGAATCACCACATGAGCTGCAGCATCAGTTCTCATCGTGCTAAAACTATACTGGTCACACAGATTACTTATCCAGGGTCAGTTCATTTATCACACCACATGTTCATATTCAAGTCGTTCATCTTCTCAGCTTTGAGTAAAGAACAACAACAAACACTTGACACTAGATCCTGAAGTGCTTGTTGAGGCATTTCCCTTTTGGATCAGAAATAAAGTCTTATCTTTTATAGGCAAATCACATCCAAAGTTCAGACCTGTCACGTGCTTATGGCTTCAGAGCTGACTTTTAATACCGTCTGTATGTGGCCAGGCTGTTAATGAGCTAAAAGCCATTTCAGTATCGTCACAGTGGGCTCACATGTCCAGCATCATGCAAGAACAGCCGCAAGCCATAACAAGGTCAACTACAAGGTCACTACCTGACGGAGGTACCTGTTTGGATTGAAATTATATCTAAAGGTTGGCTCTTTGGATGCTTTTTGTGTTCACACATATTTTCATCACTCTTTCTTTCTCTCATCACTTGGTAACACACAGGATGAAGAAGCAGGGCTCTGCTCCTCAGTTCAGACAGGCACACAATAAGTCCACCACTCCACTCCATGCAGGTCTACTGGGTACTTACTGACACCTCACAACAACAACCCTATCCAGAGAAAACAGAGAGAAGAAGAATAAAAAGGGATGCATGCTGAATTGAAACTCTCTCTCTGTCCGTGTCGGGCTGATATCGCAGCACATTCCCGATGTTCAGACATCCTGCTGCCCTCTAATCTACATCCCGGATCTCGCCACCATTGAAATTCCTGCGCTGTTTGTTAACAGACTATCACTCCCTTGCAGCACCTCCCACTCCTGATTTGTGAGCTTTGTCAGCACAGCCATGTGATGCAGATGCCTCATCAACTCCAAATATGTGTGAGGAGAATGTTGGCTCTGTAAAGGGAAGCTGTGTGAGCCGAGAACCGGAGGCTCTTTGAGGTCTCGTTTTCCCCGGCAACACGTGATCAGCAGCGAGCGAGAAGTGGAGCCACCCTGAACACTCAAATATTTGCCACTGTTCACTTTTGGTTTTAAGCCGCATCATCGAAAACAGAACAACGCAGGAGAAAAAAGCATGCAAGCTGTAAACTCTACAAGCTGCCTGTTTGGGGTCATGAAGGCGGAAAAGAGTGAAATAAACAAAGTTTGACTGACGAAAAGTGTTTCACATCCAGTCTGGTTGCTAATTCAACACTCCCTGCTCGGTCAGTGAAGCCATCTTTTAACCAGAGCGATTGTTTCTCTGGCTTACAGTAAGCAACTGTCTCCATGGAGACAGCTTATATTTTACTCTGTTGGATTTTACATCGCTGAAGTTAGTACGTAAACTCCACCACCAGGGGGCTCTCAATCAAAACAATAACAAAAAATTAGGTCGAAGCTGGCGGGGAATCATAGGAGTGATTCTGATTCAGGAAGAGAATATGTTTACAGACAAGCTAATGTATCCAGCAGCTCACGCTCCCTCATGCAGCTGTCTTTGACGTAACATCCAGTTTTTCCATGGCAACGATAAACGTTGTGTCTTGTCAGGTCCCGTTACAACTGAAGGATTTCTGTCTTTGATATCTGTTGGACATATTTGAGGTAATATAAGAACCTCAACAAAAAAACATTTTTTATTAATTTAGAAAATTTGGTGTAAAAATTCTTCACATTAAACCTTTAAAATACTAGAAGTGCTCACTCTTACAAAACAAAGTGTGTAGCTCATCACCAGCTTTAAAGTCAGGGTTGGTATTTTTAGCTAACTAGCATGATTTGTAGCATTCCCTCAGTGCTCCGTCTGCACCCCCGCCCCCCGTCCCTCTGTGCTCCCTCATAAGCCACGCCCCCTCACTTACATGCTCGAGCTCCGTCCCTCCAGAAGTGGACCTCAACTCATCTCTTACATTGTGTAGAAACTATGTTGTCTCAGGTCTCATTCAGCGGTAAGTAAACTCAAAGTATAAACTCCTAAAGTCATCAGTGAGGCTCTTTGAGTGTGAGCTAGAGCACGCAAGAGGTAGAGGACGAGCAGGGAGACAGGGAGGCATCTGATTGGTTCATCAGATTGGTACCTCGTGCAGACATTGGTTAAAGTTTTTACAGACTTACGCCTGATACAGATGATGGATTTTCTTTGTTCCTTTTTCAGAGAACATGAGTTATTAATTTCTGTCAGGACCTAAAGACAATTTACACCAAAATCTTAAAAAGTAGATCTGGAGGAAATGACCAACCCTGACTTTAAAAATGAGTTTAAATTATTAGAATGATGTATCGATACATCATGAGGGACAGTAATCTTAACATGACCAGTGAGAAGAGTCTGTGAGGAAACAACAGGAAACACAGGAAGTGTTTTAGCAGAAAGGGATCACTGTTAGGTGAACGCTGTGAGAGGCCGCCTCTGTTATGGATCCCCTCTAGAACCTCTGCAACCAAGGTAACAGCAAGTACAGGAGAGAAAGCAGAGCAGGTAGACAGGTCTGAAAAGAGAAAAGTGATGAAGAGTCACGCGCAGCTGCGGCCAGCGCTGCTCAGCTCCAAGAGGCCCGGTCACTATAATGCTGACACAATGGACCCCCCTCTGTTCACTCACAAACATTATCAAACATGTTCTGCTTTCTGCTAGAGACTATGTGGACTGATTAGCCTTTGACCCGTTTCTGCAATACTTACATTGACAACGGACTCTTTGAACTTGATGTGCAGACGGTAGTTGGACGTGGCGATGATGGCGTCCTCTGCTCTCCCCACATACTCTGTGAACTCCCCGTGCAGCTCAGGAAAGGGCACCTAACAACCGCCAAAGATATGACACTTCAAACAAACCGCACAGAGCCATATAGGTCGACAGTGACTATGATACAGGATATGCATAGGAGGAAACATTGATTCTTTCCACTGATACGGTCGTCATGTGACTTCCATCGACCAACAGGCCAATGTGAAACGTTATAGAAGAATCTAACTATTTCGTTCATGGCTTAAAGATATTCTAATTTTTATAAAATAACTGTTCCATAAATGCAGGCTGACTGTATTCACTGGGACTTCATCATTTGCAATTCAGATTTTGTAACAAATGCCACAAACCTAAATTATTATATCATAAATTAAGGGAAGCATAAAACAGTTTCTGCAGTTAGCTGAAAACACACACGCTCTTAACAGATGAAAACAAGGTGTCAACACACTTTTTATTTCATTATTCCAAACAGGCTGCAGGCTGACTGTATTCACTGGGACTTCATCATTTGCAATTCAGATTTTGTAACAAATGCCACAAACCTAAATTATTATATCATAAATTAAGGGAGGCATAAAACAGTTTCTGCAGTTAGCTGAAAACACACACGCTCTTAACAGATGAAAACAAGGTGTCAACACACTTTTTATTTCATTATTCCAAATTTTCGGTTTCATTTTGGGGCTTTTTATGTCGTTATTTATTGATGGGACGATGGACAGAGTCAGAAATCAGAGAGAGGAGGAGAAAGGAAATTGGAATAACAACAATTTTAAAATGAGTATTTGGTAATGATCATGTTTGCTCCCATACAAAGGAAAAACAAACAAATAACACCAAAAATGTCCACCATGTGTACAACCTAACTCACCAGTTTTATTTTACATAATATTGTTGCTATACTGTTCTCATGTTTTTCTGTCCTGTTTACTCATTTATCTATTTTTCCCTCTCTTTCTAATTTTCATTTTATTTACTTAAATATTTTGTTTTGTTTTGCTTTTGTTTTGTTATTACCACAGCCGCCCTCGTTTTTATGTGTTTGTTCCTCTGTTTTTTTTTTTAAACATGCATGGCCGTATCGATGAATAAAAGTAAAAAAAAACAGAGAGAGAATTAACATGCAGGAAGGAAGCCACAGGTCAGATTTGAACTCGGGACGTCCGCTGTGAGGACTATAGGCTCTGTACTTCAGGCACGAGAACCTACCACTAGGGTACCCTCGCCCCCCTAATTCCATACTCTGAAAGATGTACTTATCCAGACCAGACAACAGAAATGTCACTAGCGGTACAACGGATCACAGCTGATTTAGTGATCAGCTCCGATCACCCCCCGATAGTCCAGATTCAAATCGATCGTATAATTTATCATCCAACTCATTCAGGGTTGTAGGGGGCTGGAGTTGATCCCAGCTGTCAGGGGGTACGGCCTGGACTACTCGCCAGTCGATCACAGAGACATTTGTCATCTTGTGAACATTAACTTTAAACACAAATGTCTGGATTGTTGCACCCCCAGATCTCTCTATCATACAAGAAGAGTGTCCATTACAAACACGTATTCATGTATCCGCTGCAATCCAACTTTGTTGAGGGAAAACGCATCTTGAGTGGTCCCAACCCCACTTCCTCAATCAATTAAATAGATACCGTGAAGTCCAGAATATAAGTCGCAGTCTGTTCTGGGGTTTCACAGAGAAGAAAAAAAGTTTAAACTGGTTTGTTCAGCAGAGTCTACAACAGTCAGTGTCTGTGCAGCGCTGTCTTTTAGTTCTGTCTGTTTTCTCTTGGTGGAGTTTACCCTCCAACTAGCTACAGTACGGTAATCGAGCTCTCAGCATACGGGGAAAGATGTGATGTGCTGAAAGCCTGCAAATGTGAGAGTTGCTTTAAATACATGAGGGAGGGAGAAAAGATGTGAAAAAGTAGCGCAGCCAGCCCGGTCTGAGTCGCTGAGTTTCCCAGCAACACACCATGAACGTGTAACATCGCGTGCAGTGTGATGGTGGCGTCTGCTCCTGTGGTAATAACGACGTGTGTGTCTGCATTTTACACCTGTGTATTGGTCCTACCGATTTTAAGACACAGACAGCTTTATAGATCATAAAATAGGTATTCAAAGTGCATCTTATAATAAAGCTATTTGAATAAAAAAAAATGTGGACGCTACCACCAAGTTAGTTATGATATCAATGCTGTAGTTTGTTGTGCTGTTATTGCACGTTATCACTTCCCTGGACTCCCTCACACAGGGGTAAACACTCTGGCTCGGCATGATGCCTGGTCAGAACAAATTAAAAAAACACTGTGCTGTAGTTATCAATAAAAGGTTTTTATAAAGTCTCCATCTTATTCACTTTGAAATCCCAAAAAAAGAAATAAAGTTGGGCATCGGGCGTTGCTCTGTATTTTCTCTTTCTTCTTCGCAGAGCTGCAGACTAAACCAAATGTTTGTTTTTGGTGATTAAGTTTGTTTTTCCTTTTTTCAAGATTATCTGTGTTTAACTTTGCTTTTAAGAATTAGCTCCTGAGGCTTGTCATACTGAAAGTAAGCTTAGGTGACATGTGACTTAGCTGTGGGTGTGTCGGGTAGTTATGTAACCGATTACAAACAACGGACGCACAGACATGTCGCCGCCGCCGCCCCCTCCTCTTTATTTACAGCATTAAAAAGAGAGAGCATGTCAACATGCTTCCTCACCTGCATGTTTTCCTCCTCCAGGACCGGGGACTTCTTGGGGAAGTTCTGATTGGCCTGGATACTCTCCACGCCCTGCTGCCCCTCCTCCTCCTGCAAGTCAGAAATGATACTGAACTCAAGTCTAATTTAACTTTCCTCCATACACATTCATGCACACTAACAGCTGTGACCATCAAGCTGCTCTGCATGTTTGGAAAGTTAAAAAATAACTGTTTAATACTTTGGTAGTTTTTATGGGAGAAAAGAAAAGGAGGGTAACTCCATCAATCTCGCTTTAGCCCCGATTGTCCCGGCCACAGTTTGTGATTGTCGTTCAGATTCTTTGTTCATGACTGAGTGTTAAAAAACAACTCCACAGTGCTGCACACAATGCAGCTGTGAGTGTGTGTCCTCTCCTTCCTACACACACTGTAATGTGCAACCCGCCATAATTTATTGTAATCACCGTGTCACAACAAGCTGTGGTGTAACAGATGGCAGAAACATAATGCACAGTGCTCCAAAACTTCAGAGAAGTCACTAGTGGAAGATTTACACAAGAGCCTGAAAATAAATGACACTTTCAATTTAATTTTAAGCTGGAACATCTTAATGATTAACTTTTTTTTTGTTTGTTTTTAAGACGTTTTCAGCAGCAGTCTGCAGGCTTTTTGAGGGCCAAATGTTTGAGGTGGAAGTCGTCTGCGGGATGAACACATCTCTCAGAGGATGTCTATCAGTGGGGAAAGTGAGGAATGGATGTTCAAGCAGAGTCAGGGACTTTTTTTGAAGGCAAAAACTAGTGGGGAAAAAAATGTCCATCCTTGTCCTGACAGAGACTGAAAGGGAGTATTTGGAGTGTGTTTGGTCAGGATCAGGGTTTAGCCTGGACAGCATTCAAAGAAAGATTAAGGTGGGGGCGAAGAGACGGCATATAATAGACAGCACTGCACAGCCTGTTGGATGCTGGCTCAGCACGAGATGCGCTGATACACGCACACACACCGTTGTCATGGCTGCAGGGCCAGCGGACAGCGAGCGCACAGTGCATCAGTGGGTATGTCATGGTGTGGGGATAGAAAACTATTTTCTGCTGCTTAGACGGCAGCCCTCTGAGGACCTTTGACACCGTCGGGGCTGATGTAAGTGTCTGCCTCCTGATAAACAGAGCTGATTAAAAAAGGGAATCAATGGAGAATTTCAGATTCTTCAGCCACAGCAGCTTCTGTCAATGACTGAGTGTACTTTACCATGGCCCCTGTGAAGGAGTGTGGGTCACCAAACAAGGGGCTCCGCCTTGGACCAGTCTGTGCACAGAGAGAGAATGGAGCTGATTAGTTTGGTGAAAAACTTTTTCTAATATAAGCCCTGGTCCTTCAAAATGACAGAATGCTTTTTATAATAACACAATTACATCATTATGAACAACAGCTATCAGAAACAGAGTCTCAGAAAATACAATAAAAACAGTAAAGCGGTCGATAATTACAAACCAAACAAATACATATACTAAATACAAATACTAACAAATCATCTACTCAAATGACTTCAGTACAATTTAAAAAATAAGTCTATTATCACAGAAAAGTGTCTCCATCTTGTAGGGCGGGGAAATTAATCAAATTTCAACAACGACTTTGTCTTCCCACGATCGTGAGAACAAGATAATCACGATTAAACGATTATTGCGCCGTATGTCGTGTTTCGCTCATTTTGTCCGTGGGTTTTGTTATCATGAGAGGAAAACGTGTTTGTTGTTATTTTTTTGGCCACAAGAGTTCATCACCACTAAATCAAAACTTGCAGAAAGCTTGATATGTGAACGCAAACAGACAAATTTTTCGCTCCGAGTTTCTCCTCCAGCCTCCTCATATTTATTCTGCAGAAAGTCAGAGTAAGCTGATGTGAGAACACAGCAGGATATAATCAGGAGAATTCACCTGGAGCCAGTGGGAGGGGGTGGTGAACTTTATTCACATGTGATCGCTGCACGACCATAGACTGTCTGCACGCCACCTCTATTATCTCTGTGCTCTAATGAACCTGCTGCTGCATGTTTCCTGTTCTCCAGTATGTTCTTCTCCACTCTTTAGTTCACATTGAGATTCTCTTCAACTACACGTAGCATTGATAGACAGACACATATTCTCACTATAGCGTCGTATAGAGGACTCCGTTGCTTCGTCCGCTACTTCCTTGTTGTTTTTTTAGATCACGTCTTAGGAGACCCCCCCCCACCACCCCTCTATGAGGAGACAAAAGTACTGAAAGTCTCAGGTAAAGAAACAAAAATGTCTTAAACATTTGACACAAATACAGTAAGTTCATGCATTATATTTCAAACTCACCGCAGACAATCAGTAACGAAGAGCAGTCCTGATAATCCTGTTTGTAAACTCTCACGAGTAACACATGGAAATCTGTGGAGATGAAGACAAACATGAGTTTTTCCTCCTTTACTTGTCTCTACTTTGCAAACTGCAGACTTTTCCCACAGTTGAGAGCAGAGACATTTATGCTACAGAGGCTCTTTTGATTCCCAATCAAATAAAGCTGTACTGTTGGTCACAGTAGCTTGTGTATGTAAATGGTACATAGACTTCAGCTTCTGGTCTTCTGACAAGTTTTTACACCGCAGGTCACACCTACACATTCACACACCAATGGTAGAGGCTGCTGAGTAAAGAGCCCATCAGTATTAACTCATCCATTCATACACATTCACACACTGATGGTAGAGGCTGCTGAGTAAAGAGTCCATCAGTATTAACTCATCCATTCATACACTGATGGTAGAGGCTGCTGAGTAAAGAGCCCATCAGTATTAACTCATCCATTCATACACATTCACACACTGATGGTAGAGGCTGCTGAGTAAAGAGTCCATCAGTATTAACTCATCCATTCATACACATTCACACACTGATGGTAGAGGCTGCTGAGTAAAGAGCCCATCAGTATTAACTCATCCATTCATACACATTCACACACTGATGGTAGAGGCTGCTGAGTAAAGAGTCCATCAGTATTAACTCATCCATTCATACACATTCACACACTGATGGTAGAGGCTGCTGAGTAAAGAGTCCATCAGTATTAACTCATCCATTCATACACATTCACACACTGATGGTAGAGGCTGCTGAGTAAAGAGCCCATCAGTATTAACTCATCCATTCATACACATTCACACACTGATGGTAGAGGCTGCTGAGTAAAGAGTCCATCAGTATTAACTCATCCATTCATACACATCCAATGAAGCAGCGGAAGCAACTTGGGGTTAAGTGTCTTGCCCACGGACACATCGATGTGCAGCTGCAGGAGCTGGGGATCGAACCTCTGACCTTCTGGTAAAGAGACGACCGACTCTACCACTGAGCCACAGTTGTAAATAAAAACCTTCACTAGAAATGTTAAAGCCAGAACACACACTCAAGAATCGATCATGTGAACTGCTTATCTTATGTTTACCTTTACAAATAAACAAGAAAACTCTATTCCGACAGAACATCTTATTTAAACTACTGCCACACTCTTAAGATCATTAGAGGTTCATTAGGTATTATCAGGTTTGCCTGTTTATAAGAAGAAACATCATTTGTGTTTCATGGAACAATGGTTGATACCTTCCCTCGTGGCTGCAGGGCAAGCCGACATATTTGGCAGAGCCAGAACTTCAAAGCACTTGGCTGGTGGCTCGTTTTAATTTTCTACCGAGTCTCGAGTCGTAACCAAAACAATTTCATTTCCGAGAACAGGAAGCTGTCCAGCAGCTGTTATATCATATGTTTAGATGTCTTATCTTTACCAAGATATCCACTAACATAACTTTCTCAGCATACAGACTAGTACAAATATGTGTGGTGTTTTCTTACAGTGACGGGTAGATTTGCTCATCCTTCCCGTCAAGGTGGCGGGTAAATAAAAGTAAGCCTTACGTCTCCAAGCAACTCCTCATATAAGCTCATATACTTTTAAAACACAAATTGATTTCCCCTCAGTCCATCCTTTGAGGACATGGCTGCATTGGGAACTCTCATCAGCCTAATAATAAGAAACTAAAATAAACATGTTTTTTCCCCCATCCAGGGGGCCAATGGCTGCCAAATGCCAAAACATGTTACTGTACTGTACTGTGCTGTACTGTACCAGTACTGTACCAGTTGAAAAATGTATTGAACACTGTAAGCCTTGATTTGATGTTATCATCGTTATAAAATTAAGTGGCAGGTAAAAAAAATGACTGACTGGTAGATATTTGAATCCACCAGTCAGAGGCCAGTAGGCAAAATAGTTACTCTGGTGTGAAGGTCTCCTGCAGACGGTGACATCTGATCTGAGAAGGTCTGTGGTCCGAGCAGAACAAAACACTCTACTTCACATGTTAGATGCTTCAGGGCAATAAAAAAAAAACTTAAGTCCCATTGCATCATCATGGGGGGGGACAAGGATCTCAGCCCAGTCTTGTGTGAAGCAGCCAGGGTAAGGTCATTACATCACTCACTGAGGGGTCCAGCAGCTTTCAGGGCTGGTGCGACCCGATAAAGTTTATCTGCCCCACACACACAGGGCTCTATTTCCAGCCGCGGACTCATGACCTGTGGCTGCGGCTCAGTCTGGTTCTGAGTTACACAGGGCAGGTTAAGCCCCTTAGAGCCTTAACGTTACTCCTGTCCCGTGACCGGCCAGCATGCATTTCAGCCTGCAAAGAGGCTAAATCTTTAAACTTGTTTTTTTTTACAAGTTTGAGCCCTAAACAGTGACTTAAGGGGATGCATTTAAAGCAGTAAAGTCGTACAAGTTGACTTTCGGCTGGAGATAATAACAAGAACAGCGACACCAAAAAGGATTAACTCACATAAAAGCTTTCAGGTCAGCTGAGAGTAAAAACAATCAAACCTGCAGAAAAACTACATATCCCGGCAACTTTAACGCAGATGTCGTTTACTAATGTGGACATTAAAAACTACGCTGTTAAACATGAGAACTGAGTTTAAATGTATCTTGATTGCAGGAAAGATGTGTCTTTCAACGATAGAGAAACTTAGTATTTACCAGGTAACAACAACAAAAAAATCCTTTGCTAGCATCACTGAGGTGCTGACGAGCGATAAGAGCCCACTTCAAATGTTAAAAGTTACTCGTTAGCTTTCCACAACAGTGACAGTAATTGATCTCTTTCTTTGGGGACGTTAAGCTCGATCTTCAGCAGCTTATTAGCTCTACTAGCGTCAACAGTTCAACAACATAACACGTCCACAAAGTGATGCTAGCATGCTAACACTTAACTCGTCCACAGAGGCTCTTCGTGGTGTACGTAGCTAACTTCTGCATTTGGAAAGCGGTTTGTTGTGGTGTAGGAAAGTCGTAATAGTAGTTGGTGTTTGCGGTTTCTAGCTGTGACACAGAGCTAGCTGGCTAACGTTAGCTTGTGGAGCTAGCAGCTCCGCTACTGTTTTTGTTGTTGTGAGATGGAGGGCGGAACCCAGAGAACCGGAGGCCTCTGTCAAAACACACCGAGGAACGACGGCGACCGGCGGACTCACCAGTGAAGGAAGTGACGGTAACTCAGGAGCCAGAGGTTCATCCGAAGCCTGTGCAATTATTAAGCAGCAAATAAACCTCGCCCAAATAAACATTAGTCATATCCGAGCCGAGGCCAAGCTTCACTGCGTCCCTTTCCAGCAGCGAGTCGTCGTCGCCATCGTCGCGAGTTCTCCAACCCAACAAGCTACGTGTGTGTTACGTCATGACGTCAGAGTAATGATCCGTGCGGGGGAGGGGCTGAGACGCACCATGTGGTACTACCATGTCAACACTGGGCTTTGGGCTCCCACATTTCCCCTGTAGATACATTAAATTCATCTATTTACAGTTAATACAGCGACAGAGTGAAAATGGATAAATGTAAGTAGATCAATCAATCTTTTTATATAGCGCCCAATGTTACAAATACCTTACTCTTTGTTTTAGTATGCTACAGAGACCCAACATTAATCCATCATGAGCACTAAGCAATAGATAATGATTCAAGATGACGTTTTATTGTCTCTGAACACAGTGAGCCTATAACAGAGAAGAGAAAGTTTGTTATATGGATTTATATTATTGGCTTTGAGGGACGAGATGGTGTCAGAGCGTCACATATTTCCTTGCATTGACTGCACACTGGTCCTTTGATGTATGACTAATTGAGTTGAATTAATAGTGTGGTTTTAAAGATGTGAATTTGTGATTCTGTGCTCATGAGTTCGTGTGCGTTAATCTGAACTGTGGTACGTTTTTCCAAATGCACCATGAAGAAATAAAAACACAACACAGTAGGATCTTAATCAATTATGTATTGAATGATGGCTTACATATGCAAACTCAATTCCAAGACGCTTGGCATACCTTTATTCATTCTTTGACATTTAATAGGCTGACACTCGAGGCATTAGACAGAAATATAAGCCTGCAGGAAAAAGTCTCCTGATTGGCTCTCAGCTGACTTTCAAATTAAAAGCTGTCCTTGTGACAAACCCTTTGTGTCAGAGTTATTTCTACTTCCTATTTCCAACTCTGAACACAAGCATTGAAATGTTGCCAACCAATTACCTCATGATTTAGTGACAAATGTCAGTTATAAAATAAAACCCTTGGATGTGTAGGACTTTCAGTACGAAAAGCTTTGCTTTTTTATCTGCACTGTGTTACAAAAAGTCCTACACCCATCAAAAACACACTTTCCCACAATGCATTTGTTCTGTGAGGATAATGATATGGCACAAAGTAATTAAAATTTTACCTGAAAGTCACGTTTACTGGGTCCTTATAGGTTCTGATTTGACAGGAGTCATCATGACTTTGTGAGAGCCAAATTGATCAGCTGCACCATGCACTTAACTAATTCAAGATGATTTTAAGTGCTTATTCAATGTCTCTGTGCAAGAACAACACAAAAAAACACAGTCTATCCCTTGTCATAAGACTAAATTGGATTTGCATGCAAAACAATGAGATGGGCTCGACATGGGGAGATAATGGCGTTGGTAAATACATATCTTTATCAGTCATATGTTACCATGAAAGAGAATGAAATTTCCACATAAGAAATGCCGCTTCAAATCTTACAGTATATTATGCACAAAAAATGTTGGTACCAAACCAGAGAAAAATCCTCTGTGGCTCCAAGATAGAAAAAAAAGTATTTTAGAGAACAAAGTCTACTGATCTGGAAAAATGCAACCCATTAGCTTCATCCTGGCCGCTCGCATGGACACTGTGTGTTTGGACCAATCTGTGTAATGAATTACAAAACAGCTCCCGCCCTCCAACAAACCACCTCTATCTGTGGAAAGTGTACTTCCCGTATACTCACAACTTCCACAGGTCCAATGAATCTATCATGGAGTCATTGTGGACTCCACACTCTGTTTATCAAAGTCACCACGATGGATGAGACCAACTGTTTCAGTAAAGCTTTAGAAAGCAAGACTACCCTGAGAGAAGGTCGAAAACGTGGGCAAGCTTGCCAGACCAGCACTGGCTTGGATGGGTTTGGTTTATTAAATCTGTACACTCTATTTCAATATAATCAGCACATTTTGTTCCAAGAATGTAAGATATCTTTTTTTTTGTTTTAGTAATTGTGTAATATATATCTCTACATAATACAATCCAAGTCCTCTGAACTATGTAGACATGTGCAAGTGTTTACTACCAACTTCGACGATACAGTAAAGGCAAAGACTTGTGGACACTAAGTTAGGATAATGTTGATACTTGAAATTTTTTTGAGTCCTCACAATTATCAAAATCTAAGTGCTGTAAGTAGTTCATACACGAGGTATCCAATATCTAATTGTTTTGAGTATAAAATAGAGGCAAAATACATAAAGAACATTTTGCAAGCATGACAAAAAAACTTCTACGGACACAATACACAAGTGGTCAAGATAATATGAGGGGGGTACCTGTAACCTTTTGCATCCTTGAGTGTAGCATACTTACAGAAGGGATGTGTTTCATGTTGATGTCAGGTCATACTGTGTCATGCTTTCACACGTTTGTGAGCTTTAGCCCCATGGGAGATCCAAACACAGCAGCATGTTTGATCGAGTACACATTATTCTATTTACAGTAAATGACCCATGTGGGGGAAGTGCACTCAATCTGAGGAGGGATCACAACACGCTAATAGAAAGAAATTATTAGCTCCCTTTTCTAACAGCAGCATATTCTTTGTAAATGACAGTTCATGAGTGACCTCTCTCTCCTGCTTGGGTGTGATGCAGCACACTTCCCCTTCAGTTATATAAATAAGTGTCGGTCGGGGTTAATGTGAATCGAATGGTCATAGCATGATGTGCATCAACATAATGTGAGGTAAACCAGGTGTCCTGCAGTCTGAGAACCAGTGCCTTAGAGGGTCAGAGAGGTAAGTCCGAAACAAAGCATGTAAACTGTGCTCTGTACTACAAAGAGCACGAGGGCCCTAAACTGTAAACCTCAAGAATTATTCAAAAGAAACAAAAAATACTCAGAGTACTCTATTCATTCCATTTGACGTGTCCTTTTTTTCTGAATGCTTTTTCAGCTCTTTTTTTTTCTCTTGTTTTCACTCAAGTAAATCACAGGTGACTAACTACGGAGGATAACAGGGTTCAGGTGAGTACCATGCTACATCAGGTTTAGAGAAGGCTATTGCAGACATTTTCTACAACATGTACAACCACATTTTTTATACGTGTGAGTTACAAATATTTCAAAACATATCACCAAGAAACTAAGTACAGACGAGATGTTAAATATTTAGAGTCTTTAAAGGACTATCCCTCGGTCGGTAAGTGGATTTCATGTCACTCGACTTCAACTGTCCAGTCTTACAGACAAAATCTGAAAAAATGCTATTCAAAAAGTAGCAAATTTGGTCAATGTCTCTTTTCAAATAGTTATAGTGCTTTTAATGGCTTAAGACAGGGGTCTTTTATAATCTCACCCAGTGGCAATCTACAGAACTGTAGTGTACATTTGATGACACCATAGCTGCAAAAGTCTTATGTCAAGTCCAATAGGTAAAACGACAGCTAGTGCTGCCACACATATTTAAAAGTAGTATGCGTTATCAAAAGAAAAAGCAATTAGGAGTTTTTTTTTAATAAACTTTTTTCTACTCTTAGTTCTTGCCGGGAGTTCAGCCCCGTGTTTAGCTCTGCGTTTCCATCTCCTAGAGGTCAGGCCTTCAAAAGCCTGGCTCTGATCCAAGTCTTCAGGAAGCTTCTTTTTTTGAGATTCTTCTGTGTGTGCCGTGACTAGGAGACTTAAAACTCCCACTCCAGAGTCTCTTCACGATTGGCCGCCCTCTCCAGCCTGTGGATGATGTTATTGAGGTTAGCCATTTTCTCGTTGCGTCTCTGAGAGCTTCTGTTGAGTTTGGGGCTTTGGAAAGGAGGGAGCAGGTTGGGGTCCAGGCTGTGATTGGTGCTCGTCGACGGCCGATTGGGCAAAGTGGGCGAGATGGGAGCGGAGGAGGAGGGGACGGGGGAGACTGACATCATGAGGCCGGGGGAGGACGCAGCAGAGGGCGAGTTGAGGGAAACCTCCAGGCTGCGGCGACAGGGCTCTGATGAAGCCTTGAAGCTGACCGGGTCGACGGGGGACTTCCTGGAGTCTTCCCCGTCGTGTCTGGACTGGTTGGATCTCTGGGGACCCTCTATGGAGACGGCCACATGGTAGAGCCCGTTAGTCTGGCCGCTCATCCCCCCCTCCTCCAGCCTCAGGTTCTGACCAGCCAGTTGAGGCTCGAGGCAGCTGGCAGCACTGTCCTCATGCTCACTTTTCAACTGGGGGAACTGTGACGACGTGGAGAAACACTGAACTCTTGATCGGTTGATGGAGCCCTCCTCCCCGTCATCCTCCTGGTCCGTTACTTCCAGTTTGACATGTGGCTGTGGAGTGTTGGCGTTCAGAGGAAGGCTGAAGTGGATGTGCCCTGAGGGATGCCGCGGCCTCCTCTCCTCTCCGTCAGAGGTGGGGCTCCGCGTCATCGACGGGGAGTAGCTGTGGTGCTCAGCGTCTGTGTCGTTGTCTGGCAGACCCTCCATCAGCACCTCCCGTCGCATCCTGGACCTGTACACACACACTTCAGTTAGAAAAGTCAAGCCTTCCAAGTTACACTTACAAAAATCTACATTTCAAGAGTTTTATTTCTGTATTAAGTGATTAAAGAACAGCAGAGGTTACATAGTTGGTGGTACTGGCCTGTAGTTGTGGAACCAGTTGATGACAGTGTTGGTTTTGAGTTTGAGCTGGGATGCCAGGATCTCGATGGTGTTCTGAGAGGGGTAGGGCTCCATGAGGTAGGCCTTCCTCAGCGCTTCTTTCTCCTCAGCTCCCAGCACCACGCGGGGCTTCTTCACCTGGCTGTAGGGGCACAGGTCCAGCACGCCTAAGGCCGGACTCACACACTCCGAGCGGTTGCTGGGCGAGTCGCTATCCGAGCCGGTGCTCAGCAGCCCATAGCGCCGCTTCAGATAGGCTTGAGAATAACAAAGTGATATCCAGCATTAAGGTCATGACAAACGCATTATTCTCAAAGTAGAAGATAAGATAATCCTTTATTTGTGTTACAGCTCCAAAGAGCAAAGATTGCAAACAAAAAGTACAATTTAAATTTAAAAAAAAAGAAAAATTAAAAATGTACAAAAAATAGGTAGATACCACAATATAAATTTTAAAAAATAGATTTAAAAAAATAGAGCCGAGAGCTGCAGTTTTGACAAAAATGTAGTCAGAATATTCAGTGTAACACAGACATGCACATAAAGTGTAACATGTTATTGCACAAAGCGGTTTGATAAACATAGTATAACATTATTATTTCACAAGGTAAGAGTGAATTGTCCGGTTGTGTGTGTGTGTTTTGTGATCTACTGGGAGCAGGCTTGGTTAAACAGAAAAAAAAGAAGAGATATGTAATAGGTTTAAACGTCCTCACCTTTCTTCTCCATCTTCTTCATGGCCCTCAGCTTGTCCACATTATGAGGATCATTGAGCCACAGCTGCATACGGACAAACGGCTCCCTGCCTTTAAGGCTGAGTTTGTGCCAAGGCTTGGGCCTCGAGAGCAGGTCGGACACGGAGCCTTGGGTCAAACCCAGGATGGTCTCCCCGAAAAGACGCTGGCCTGCAGGACACAAACACACACACAGAGGGATGTAGGACTTGTGTCTGTGTTTCCAGGAGTGATATCTTAACCCCCAAAGAATGATCTCACACCCACCTAGGTTGTTGTCTGTTAGCACCTCTTTGACCTTCTTGGTGATGGCATATGTGTCCAGCTCTGAAGACATGGCCACCAGCTCCTGGATACCCAGAGGGTTTGTGGGCTGATGCAGAGACATGAGGCTGGGCGTGGATTTCCCTCCCTCTGGGTGGGGAGGCAGCCCCAGGCCGAGGCCCTCAGGCTGCTGGTTCTCCTTGCTGCTCTCCAGGGACAGGCTGACCGGCTCCACCAGGGGACTCGGGTGGCTCTCGGCTGGGCTAGGAGGTGGGGAGGGTGAGGACTGGGCCGTCGCCGGGCTTTTTTCTGAAAGGGAGGAGGCATCAGAATATCATTAAAAAACATTAGTTTACATGTGGGCAGAGAAGAAGTTCTAATGTATTTAAACAAATGTGGTCAAGCATCCCTGCTTGTACATCTCCTATGTGTATTATTTGCAGTCTCACCCTGAGCGTGGACCTGGTTCGGGGGCTGACTTAGACTCTGGCCTAGCTGGTCCAGTAACCACAGCTGCATGCGGATGAAGGGCTCCCTGCCTTTCTGGGTCAGCTTGCTCCACGGTTTGGGCCGAGACAGCATGTCGCTCACGCTGCCCTGAGACAGCCCGAGCACCTGCACAATAAAACACAGGTTAATAACGTGACAGCTCCTGTAAAACACAGGTTAATAACGTGACAGCTCCTGTAAAACACAGGTTAATAACATGTGACAGCTCCTGTAAAACACAGGTTAATAACATGTGACAGCTCCTGTAAAACACAGGTTAATAACATGTGACAGCTCCTGTAAAACACAGGTTAATAACATGTGACAGCTCCTGTAAAACACAGGTTAATGATATCTCTCTGACAAACATTGATTTGTATTTATCATAACCAGAAATACATCTGTTTGCATAGATATGGCTGGAGTGATCAATTCTAGTCAACCACCACTAGAGGGCAGCAAAACATCACAAATGTTAATGTGGAGTCTCTTCAGATAGTTCAACAGAGGTGCATCTCAATAATCAGGAATGTATTTACTACAAGAATGTGAGGGGACATAAACCATGGTTGAAGCCTCTTTTCATGTAAAGTTTTAGAAAAGTTGGTTTATTTAAAAGTCGACAGACTGTCTTCAAGCAACGTCCAACTCAGCTGAAGATATTTTTCATCAGTCGATCTGACAGTCCGATCACAGAAAATACCAAGATGGAAAATAAGATGTAAGCAAGAGCACATGATGAAACCTGTATGTGTTATCTGTTAAACAAAGGATCAAATAAACGATAATTTTCCTCTGTTGCCCAAATTTGTTTCTGTGATTAATTTGTTGTTTGATTAAATGTAATACTTGACATTTTAAACTGATGATTTAATTTATTAAATAAATCCTTATTTCAATTGGTCACCACACAACACCTTCACACCTATTTTTTCAAGAAGAAACTCCACATCTACTAATTAATCATCCTGGAAAGACGTAAACAGCCACCCGGGTTGCCAGGTTTGCAGTTTTCAAGTGAAATTAGGCTACTTTTTAGGTGCTGCCGCAACTTTATTATGTAAATGAATAATAAATATCAATAAAATAAATAAACCACTTTGTTAATGCCAAAATCCAACCAAATCCACAACCCACAGACAGACACACAGACACAGACACAGACACAGACACACACACACACACACACACACACACACCATTTGGCTTGTTTTGCCACACAGACCTGGCAACCCTGACAGTCACCAAAGCACAGTCATAGCTTTCAATATGGAACAGGGACACATTTACGCCTTGGAGCAAGCCTCTCAAGGTAACAATTCAACGAGACAGTTAGAAACAACCACAGCAGGACAAGAAGATGTTTTGAAAGCTTCACAATGACAAAAAGAAGGAAAATAATGATTCTACAGAGAGCTGCAGCGCCCTTATATTAGAGGGAATGAAGCGAGAGTTTGTGTAGTCATGTAGTCTGAAGATGTGAAAATACGATGTAATAAATGTGTAATACACAGAGCCACAGGAAGAGGGCGACAACCTTCAGATGTTTCTCTCTCTTGTGTGACAGTATGAGTTATCATCTGACCTTTTCTCCAAAGATCCTCTGACAGATGCCGTTCTTTGCCAGCTTCTCCTTCACCTGCCGGGTCAGCTCGATGGTGTCCACCTCTCTGTACATGTACAGCTCGTACTGCTCCGGAGTCAGCGGGGGCACGGTGGGTTTAAGGGCACGGGGGATGTACGCTGGATAGTATGAAAGCCTTCCAGAACCAGAACCAGAACCAGGACCGGGAGACTCCCCGCTCACCGACGTGTCCGACTCCACCTTCACCTCCACCGGCCGGCCCAGCCCCAGCTCGTCGTCGGCCGCCAAGGCCTCCTCGCTGTTGGGGAGACATTCACCGTTCTCCAGACGCGGCCAGGTTAGCCGGGGCAAGGCCGAGGGTCCGGACGAGGAAGAAGACAAGGAGGGGGAGACTGAGTTGAAGGGTCTAGAACTGCCTACGATACCGTGCACCATCGAGCCTCGCTCCTGAGACCAGTGCTGGTCAAAGTAAGTGCCCGCTTCACCGATCTCAGATTTGACTTTGCGTATGATGTTCTGGACGAAAGCGGCCGGGGAGAGGACACTCAGGGGGGTCTGGGGGCTGCTGATGGGGTTGGACATGCAGACAGTGACACAGCCTCCTTCCTCCTGTTTGATGGAGATGGGTAAAGGCAGGCCTCTGGAGCGCTCGGGGGGGCCCAGGTGCTCTACCTGAGCTCCGGAGTTGGCAGTAGAGGGCCTCCCGCAGGCCTCCATCTCCATCAGGGCATGATGCTGGGCCTCCATCTCCCTCCTGGCCTGCTCCAGGATGCTCTTTATGGTGTCGTCAGAGCTGCCGCCCGGCCCGTTACTGCTCCTGCCTGACGAGCTGTTCAGAGACAACTTGCCGTCGCCTAAACAAGAAAGAGCCACAAGACGACATTTTTAAAAAACACTTTAGAAGCAATAAAACTAAATAAAAACAGTTATCAACATTTCCATCTGTAAATCTATCAAAAGGGCTTTTAGGTGTGACTCGCTGCTCCAGCCTTACCTCCCCCCCTCTGGGACTGGATCTCCTTCTTGGCCTGCTCAAGGATATTCCTAATGGCGTCGTCTGACCCAGTTTCAGGAGTTCGGATGCGCGGAGTGATGCTCCCTGCCACAGAGGGTAACAGAGAGAGAGATAGAGAGAGAGAGAGCAGAGAGGGGGGGGGGTGAGTGGGATGGTTGATCAGAGAGCAGTTCCAAGGCTTTGCTTTTGACTGCTAGATCAATGGCTGCCTTTGAGCGCGTGCTGTCTGAGGTTGCAGTATACGGGAAGCTCAACTTTCAAAAAGCTGTGAATCTGGGGAGAAAACAAAGTTTAAAAGTAACGCTACAAACATCGCAAAAAGGAAGCCGCGCAAGAAGTCAAGGATGGAGTCCAAGTAGATTAGAAAGCTTTCAAATGTACACGGGTCCACAAATTAAGCCACCGAATCAGGATGGCATGATCACATCTTCTCCCTTAAAGTTAGTGGTTACACCGGAGCATCTCGCAGATCCCTTAAACACTCTGGTACAAACTTTTTCAAACAGCCTATAGCTCCAACCATCCTAACAAACTGAATATCTAAATCTTCTCTTTTCCAAGAGTGAGGGTTAAAGATGCCCAACTCTCTTCTGTTGATGACTGCAGTTTGAAAAATGAGTTCACAGGTATGTCACTTTCTTTAAAACTATGTTATTATTATAAACAAACAGGACACAGCAGGATCTAGAATCACATGAATCAGTGTTTGTTTCCTGTGTGGAAGGAGGTGACTTGTTAGAATATGTAGATTATAAAGAACAGAACTGTGACTACATGATGCACATCTGCACATTGCACTTTGACACCCTGGACACTTTGCACTTTACATTATTCTAGATTTTGTATATTCAAATATTTATTTTTTTAATTTGACATTATATTTCTATATTACTGTATTTATGTGTGTTAGTAATTTGAGTGTTTATTGCATGGCCTTGCAGAACAGTCTTTATATTTCACTGCTCATCTGTATGAGCGTGTGACAAATACAAATCTTGAATGTTGAATGTGAATCCACTCACCTCTCTGGCGGACCTGGATGGTCCTCAGAGCCAAGATGTTCTGTTCATCAGAGAGGAACTGTTTCATCTTATTAAAGGGCTCTTTGCCCTTCACCGTCAGCTTCCTCCAGGGTTTGGGTCTGGCGAGAATCTCACTGACCGAGCCCTGCGAGAGGCCCAGGACGTAGTGTCCAAACACACGCTGGCCGATGTTATGCTTCAGCAGCTGCTCTTTCACCTGGAAGGCGATCTCCGCCGTGTCCAGTTGGTCCTCGTCTCCTGCGGTCGAGCTGCCGCTCTCCGACTGGTCGCTTGGCAGGCCGGCGTCCACGCTGCATGCGCCCACAGACCCCTGGGTGGCGGACATGAGGGCCACTTTGGCTGCATAGAGGGCGGTGGGGAAAGCCATGAAGCCCTCCTTTTTAAAGTGTGGAGAGAGCAGCTGCTTGTGGAGGATGTGGTCTCCTGAAAGCCTCTCCCCAGAGCACGGGGACACAGAGAAGGGACGGGGCACATCGTGGTTAGAGGAGGAGCCATCCAGAGTGGGGCCGGGGCTGGGAGAGGCACGGCCATCTGCCTGAGACGACGATGAATGGGAGCCGGGCGGCCGGCCTCTCTCCCTACCTGCATCCTCAGACTTGTCATCATCTGAGAAAAGAAAATACATTCTCACTGAGCGAGCGTATTGATCCATTGATTTGTTAGACTGATTGATTGGTTCACTCATTGATTGGTTCGATTGATTGACTGATTGATTAAATTATTGATTGATTGACCTATTGATTGATTGACTGATTGATTTATCAAATTATTGAGTAATTAAATATTCAAACCAATCATTTCTTGATGGGCTGACGTCCTATGAATGAACTGATTTGCTGTGCAATATCTAAACTCACCTTCAAGACTCAGTTTATGAAAAAGATTTAACACTTTGAGCCTGACCAATAAGCTACAAGTAATCAACTGTGCTGAGTTTTCAGAAGACCTAAAACTGAGGAGTAACTTTTATTGAACTCACCAATGCTGTGCAAAACGTGGGCCTTATCCACCAGGTATTTGTGAGACGGTAGGAAGGCTTCTTTATCCAGTAGAAGAGCCTCTGCAGCTTTAGCAGAATCCTTTGAACACAAACACACAAACACATTACGCTGTTGATTTTCAATTAAATCAATTACAGGTGCTGTAGATATCCTTATTAAGGATGACGCCTGCAGTAGCTGCTGCTGTGGTTTTCCTGCCCGACACAGAGCACATGAAGGAGAAACCAGTTTGAGTTTGAAAAGATGGCACAGGAATATAGATACCTGGGACGAGCTGCCATTGGCTGAAGCCTGCTTCATTACCTTTAGGATGCTAGGTACAGAAACAAACAACATCAGAGAGTTACCTTTTAGGATTTGAGTTGTTTTTATGTAAACTGCACATTCAGATCCAAATGTTAAATAATCACCTGAGTTCAGTTTTAATCTCTTCATAGTCCATCTGGGATTGCAGCTTTGTTTCTAATCTCTGAAGAGGAGAAAAGATGAGCAGCATGTTAACTTCATATTAATAAGACTCTGATGACTTATGAGGATCTCTGAAGACAGGGGCGTGTCCAGACTTTTTGGACTGGGGGGCCCAACAGGGGCACAGACGAGTACAGGGGTGGCCTGAAGTTTGTGAATGAAGAGCATTTATTTACCTCTTCTGTCTGCACTAATCACCTCGACTTTTAGGTACCACAAGAAAACAGAAACTTCTTCATCTTCTAAGCTTCATTCTTCAAGGACTCAAAACAAAGATGGACATCCAAAATCACAATTTAAAACAAACATCTGCACACTGAAAACTATGAGCTGCCTGCTGCAACACTGCCAACGACTGCCTGAGTCGTAGATTTAAACATTAGTCCCACATCTAGTAGGGCAAATAGCCAATCATAGTCAAGGATTTTGGGGTGGCCAATAAGATTTCAAGGGGGGCCTATGCCACCCCTGGACACCCCTCTGGACACACCCCTGTCTCAGGAGGTTTCCATCATGTTGTGTATCGTCTTCTATGACACTCACCTCAATAGCTTCAGTTTTGTAGGCAAGCTGGCGTTCCAGCTCTAGAATCTGATTGGCCGAGGTCTCTTGAACTTCCTGTAGAGTGAACTGCAGCCGCTGAATGTTTTCAAGCAGACGGAGGATTTCGCGATCTTTAGCCAGCAATGCGGCTTCCAACTGGGAGGGTAACAACTCGCCCTTCTCCTTGTTCTCCTGGGAAGAAGAGAAGGGCGCATAACAAAACACGGAGGTGTAAGAAGGGCAGAAAATGTTAAAAGCTAATGAATCACAACGTCTGAAGTGTTTATACAGTTAACTCTGAAAGAGCCACAACTCGAGATTAGTCAAGATCTATCCATCCATCTATGGAAAATGGACTTCAGCTTGTATATTTATTTTCTAGTCTTCTGACTCCTCAAAGCTCTTTTACACCTCAGGTCACACCTACACATTCACACACTGATGGTAGAGGCTGCTGAGTAAAGAGTCCATCAGTATTAACTCATCCATTCATACACATTCACACACTGATGGTAAAGGCTGCTGAGTAAAGAGTCCATCAGTATTAACTCATCCATTCATACACATTCACACACTGATGGTAGAGGCTGCTGAGTAAAGAGTCCAACAGTATTAACTCATCCATTCATACACATTCACACACTGATGGTAGAGGCTGCTGAGTAAAGAGTCCAACAGTATTAACTCATCCATTCATACACATTCAGACAAAGCAGTGGAAGCAACTTGGGGTTAAGGGTCTTGCCCAAGGACACACCGGACATGTTGCTGCTGGAGCTGGGGACAAAACCCCTCGACCTGACTGTTGAGAGACGATCGACTCTACCACTGAGCCACAGCTTATAATAAGAGTATTGAGATATATTTGATTAGAAATAAGACAAATTCAATTGCTAAGATTTTAGTATTTGCAGTGATCCATCAGGGTCCCTGAGTGATCAGAGGAATCAATCTGTATTCAGAATTGGCTGTTTAGAAAAAGTAGATAAGATAGGTTGTCCTTTGTTTAGCAGTTAAGAAAGCTTCATGAACAATGTGTAGCTGCTCAGTGTAAGGAATGTAACACACTACAAGGTTTTGAAACAAAGTGTATAAACCTGCAAGAAACGTCTGAAAGTATGTGAGTCAAAGTAGCTAAAGAAGTAAACAAGTACATAGGACACATTATTCTCACCCTGCTAGTGCCCTCGGCTGGACGACATTTCCCCGTGTTGGGACTCTGGCCACCGGCTAACTGCTCCTTTAGCCGCTCCACTTCCCTCTGGGCCATCTCGGCTCTCTGCACACACACACACATGGTATAACAGAGTTACAGTTTTCATACGGCAGCCACATCAGTCGACTAATGAGATGATCAAGGTGAGAGCATATACATAAATCTTAATAGCAGCGCTCGCTCTGAAATATTACAGCCAAGTGGAAACCTGAGGAAGGGGCCCATGCGAGCGAGTGCAGCCTCCACTTCATTCTGCTGAGGGGGGCTGTTAAATCAGCCCGTTTTATTCCCCAAACTGTTTACCTGCTCTGTCACACCCGGCCTACTAATTAATGATTTATTTTCAGAACATTTATCCAGGAGCTGCTGCAAGAGAGCAGCGGAGTGATATAAGAAAAAGGAGCAGGAGAGAGGGGAGAAGAAAGAAGCACAAGAGAAGAGGAATCACCGGGATAGGAAGCAATCAAGGCAGTGAGATAACTAAGACCCCCGCGTTCAGAGGTCTCGCATCGGCAGCGCTCGGCAGTCTCCTGTTCTCTGCTGAGTGGAGCCGTGCCGCCATGGCGCGCCCACCGACGGGGGCTCAGATTTACACACGCTAATCACACACTCAGGGGAGGCGAGGTAGAAGTGGAAGGTGTGGGGGGGGGGGACAGGACGGAGGGTGTCTAATTAAAGTCGAGGCTTGATTACAGGAATCATTACCTTAACGAAGGAGCAGCTCATCAGAGGAGTGCAGAGGAAGACAGAACTCACCTGGTTGGCTTTCTCCAGATCTGTCATGATGGCGTTGACCTCCTCTGCCCTGCAAACAGAAAACCAGGTGAATTAGTGAGGAGACTCTCCCGCTCTCAGAATCAACCACAAACACATAGAAAACAACAGAGACCAGTTTCAGTTATGAACACGTTTACTACATCACGTAATACTATAAAAGGTTAAACATGACGGTCACTTATTTTCCTGATATATGTTATATAATTACTCAACAATAGTTATAGAATAACTCAACACAAAGAGAGTTGAGCATTAAAGATCACACATTATACAAAATCCTCTTCACCATGTTCCTCTAACTCTAATATGTGTCTCTAGTCTGTCTACAAACCCCCCAATGATGAGAAAAGTCCATCCTCTCCGTCTTTTGCCTGCTCCACTTTTCAGAAAATGTGTGCTCAAACAGGCCGTTTGGAGATTTTCCCTTCATGACATCACAAAGGGCAGTAGCCCCCCCCCCAGGTGGGTGACACTGCCACAGCTAGGTGTTTGTTCTGCCCTCTGAGTCTGCCTTCTCACTGTAAACAATAGGACATGGAGCGAGAAAGACCGAGTACACCCAAGCCCTTCCAGAGAGGGGGGCGTGGTCAGACACAGCTCATTTACATATTTAAAGGTACAGACACAGAAACAGCCTGTTCTGAGCAGGGTTGAAATAGAGGGGTTTATAGACATGATCAAATACAGGATCAGAGTGGATTTAGAACAAGAAACTTCACACACATGTTTTGATCTAACAGCTCTCCAGGACAGAGTCCTTCTTTTACATCACTGTGACTTTAGGGAGACACTGAGGAGGATTATCTACGGTGCGCCTAAAGGGACAATAGTATCAGATTAATAGTGATTTAAAAAAAAATTTATGCATTAATTTCAGACCTTAATTAATCATGATTAACTAGTTAATGCTGACTTCCCTCTATGGCAGTTTCAACACTAACTGAACTTGTAAATTGGTGATGGTCACATGTGCTTCATGGCTGACAGAAACATTTGCTCGTACACTTAGAAGTGATTTCTAATGACGTGATCTCTTCCCCTCAGTCGTAGTCATGGCCCGGCACTAAATCTGCACTGAAGGGATTCATCTTATGTACAATTGCTTATCTCTGAACTCCAACTTGCCTCCATACATCTAACAATCAGAGGAGTCTAATTTAAACACCAGCTCAGCACAATTATTCATGAGGCTTGTTTGATGTTCAACAGTTTGCTTTTACACACGAGACCTGATTTTTCAAAAGGTACGGAGCGATGAATTAACGAGGATGCTGTGATTGAGTTTAATTACCTCATAGATTTCTCACGTTTGAGGACACAGAAGTCTTTTTTTTTCACCAAAGAAAAAACACTTATGACTTTTTAAATCCTCAACCATCAAACTGACTTCAGTCCAACCTTCATTTCCTGTTATGCATGAACCCAACGACACATTTGTCTGACAGCAGGCTGCAGAGGTAGATAGAATAGATGTGATCAATAGAATCACTGAGTAATGCAAAGTGTTAAAGCACTCCCTGTTATTTATATATAAGTGAGGGGAATAAGTTACATATTGGGCTTCACTTATTGTTTACATGAATGATCATGAGTGCATGTGGTGCCGGGCTGGTTTTAGAAGGGGCCTGGTACTATCAATAAGGCCAGGATAGATGTCACCCTGCTGACAGCAAACACTAACAGGTGTCAGCTCCACGTTTAATGAACTTGTGCAGTACAGAAAATGTTTTGTATTGATTACCTTCTCGGCTACTCCAGCTGAAGCAGACAAATTGTCTTTCTTATCAACACTGAGGAAACAGTCAGGGAGAGTAATAGAGGATGTCCTGGTCAGGGAGGGAGAACTGCAGCTGGAGATCTGGGGTCAGTGGTACAACTGGAAGCCCAGAAGAACGTCACCAGGACGACCAATAACAGAGAAGGTCTGTCCTTCTTGTACTTCATGTGAAAGGTACGGCCTAAGCTGAAAATGTGTCCAGACCAACAAAATGGAAGGCAGTTGGTCTAGAAACATCAGTTCAATTGTGGCATGGATTAAGCCTGGGAGAGAAATCCATTAGCAGCGAGTGACTGTGCTCTGGAGCACAACCCAAACAAAGGAGTGTTTACTTTGAATGTCTATCGACATCCCTCATACAGGCTCAGATTCATTTCAGGCGTGCCGTGGATACATTGCGCTCAAAGACCAGGACAAGGTAGAGTGTTTTCTGAAGCAATCTTTAAATGGAGCAATTCTTCTTGAGGGCTGTCAGGGCCCAGCTGCCAGAGAAGGCAAACACAGACCTCGGTCATCGACCTGCATTAGTGGCTGAGTCACTCTCACTCGGAGTGCAATGGCATTCCTCCGCTCGACACTGGACATTAGTTCATGCAGGTAAAATAAAGAAGAGCAGCTTCAGCACTTCACTCAAAGGTACGATGAGGACTGGTGAGGAAGGCCACAAAGGCAGCTACACGACTACAGAGTGGGAGGTCTGAAATAAGTTAACTCAGAGAATAAAAAATCGGGGATGGAGTCTTACTTGTTGGCAATCTCCTGGTTGTATTTACACCGCAAGTCCAGCAGCTCTGTCTGTGCTGTGTTCAAAGCTGTGGAGAGGAGAGATATTAACATAAAGAATTATTATATATATGGCAGAGTGCAGTCCTCGTCACAGTGGTCACAGGTTAGAGTCCAGATCCTGTTAGCCCCATGTCACCCCTTATTCTCTCTCCCCATATTTCCTCTCTCTCTCTGTGTTGTTCCTTTCTAATTAAGACTGAGAAATAATCTTTGAAAAATACAGTAACTCTTTAGTTGTTGAAGGTCCAATCAGTGAGATGTGTAGAGAGTGAAATGATAAAGGTATCTTACTATCTGATCAGACATTAAGGAAACATGCTATGTTGAAGTGCTGACTTCTCTGACAACAATGCAGCAGCCAGTATGTCCTCCTTCTAACTTTAGATTCTGCTCCTGAATGCTCTGGATTTGTTTGGACCAGAGAAGGTAGGAGGTTTTAAGACACCCCCACACGGCCGTTTTGGACGCCCCTCGGTTTGTCAGATATGAGAGCAGTTATCAGGTCAACAGGTGTTGCAGTGATGGAAGCGGTCAAGAGAAGTGGTTCAGATAGAAGTGATTGTACCCGACCTAAAAAGCCTCTGCATGTTTCTAATAAGCTCCACGAGCAGAAACGTGCTCAAACTAGGATCAATATTGGAGATGCTTTTGAAAAATGGAGAGAGGTTAGAACACAGAAAGGTTTACAGACCCATGCAGAGCTGGCTGTTTTGAATTTAGACTGCAGTACCCATTTTAAACACTAGGTGTCAGAGTTATATACTGCTCCTTTAAATTAAAGAGGTAAATAAATTAAAGAGTTGGCGATGAAGAAGAAACTTACATGAATGCAGAACCTTGATCTTCTCTTCAGCCTCTGAGAGCCTGTCAGCTGAACTTACAACGGCGCTCTCCTCCTCCTCTCTGAAAGTAGAAACGCCGTCAGTCACTTCACTAAAAACACTGGCTCAAAGCTGAAACTTTGTAACGCTCGTAGAATAAAAGTTAGTACTTTCATGCGTTCCTCCTTTAAAACACAGCTGTTACATTAATTAATTCATGCATAGAAACGGTCTGCTAATCCTGGATAGAACACTGTTGCTATGTGGAACAGACCATTGCTAGGCGACGCTGCTCTGTGATCACAGACTCCGGAAGACTCACTGTAATCATATCAATCCACAGAGAGAAGTTCAGTAAAGTTAACGTCATGCCGTTCACCCTGACAGTAAGAGAGGAGGGGGTCGATAACAGCCATGAAAAGAGGTTCAAATACTTTAAGGTAAGAAAATCAACTTCTCACTTTGTGACTGAAAGATTTACACAATTATGGTCGAGATGTGTGTCATGTACGTCTGATAATTTAAATTAATTAATTAAGCAGATATTATAGTGTTGATGTTGTTACCTCCATACATCGGGGAACCCCTAAAAATATATTGTGTGTATATCATGCATTGTGTGTTTCGTTTTTTTTGTACTTTTTGTCTATTCGTGCTCTGAGGCCTTCTGATCTGAGGCGCAGAAAACATGTTGAACTGTTTCCCTACACGCTCATGAACATCAATGTAACATCCCTTCTCACAGAGTGTATACAGTTATTAAAGATATATATTTTAAAAACAAAGGAAGAAAAACAAGGATATTGGGGGGGAAAGAGTCTGAAGAATATCTCGATATTTGCTGCAGACATATGACCCTTCATGCTTTCTGTAGCTGCACGGCCGTCTGATTTCCTACACTGAAGAAGGAACATGAAGTAAACACGCAACAGAACACGGGGGCTTTCTGTAGACCGCGTCATGAAAGGAAACTGTCGACAGACTCGTTCCCCGTGTCTCACTGCATCATCAACTGAACGTTTTGGAGAAGTAACCGCTAAAAGCTAAGAAGTGGAATAATTTATAAATAATTGAATATTTGAAATGATTTTGCTATTGTTAACCATTTTGTGAAAATAAACTTATTTGAATAATTAACAGTGAATTCAATGCCTTCATTTACAGATATGGCAAGACGTCATATAAAATACTGAATCAAGAAGATCTCTGTGGAGAGTAGCGGTCTGGAAAATCTCAAACTGTAGAAAATGTGGAGCACAGGCGGGGAGGGAGGGAGGGGGGGGGTGTTATTTGTCTTTTTCAAAACGAAGGAAATCTGAGAGCGTTTTTATTGATTCTCACCCTTGGCCATCGGCTCGGTTCTGGTAGTTCTGTTGCGGGGAGCCTGGGGAGCCCGGGGCCCTAGAAGCCGGTGTGGTGTTGGGACTCATCAGGGAGGCTGGAGAGCCAGACTCCTGGGCCTGGTCTGTCGCCCCTGAGCCTGCTGGACCGTCCTCTGAGGGTTCTGAAAACAAAGCAGGAAGTTGATATGATGATAAATCCTCCAGAAACAAAAAAAAGTTGAATTAAAAGGCAGGCATGATCTCCAACATCATCAGAGTGATCTTATAAACACAGGTAAATATAAATGTTCATTTCCTATTGTAAGATTAAAATCAGGGCGACTATATTTCACACGTCTTTGAGTATGTTGGAGCCTCGCCGACACCCGGTTCAAACAGACGAAGCACTTTCAGACAGCAGAAGCTTCATATAAAGATTCGTATTCTTCGAGAGAGCGCTTCAGTAAGTTGAGGAGTTTGTCCACACCTTTCTTTTCAAGGCACTCCAGGTGTTTCTTCCAGTGCCCACTAATCTCTCGCACCAGGGTCTCGCTGTCCGGGGCCGAACTCTGGATCTGCTGCAGCCGCCCCTCCAGGCTGTGTGAGGCCTCCAGCACAGGAGCCGGATCTGTGAGAACAGAAACAAACAAAATGTGGGTAGAAAGAAGTCTTTACGATCATGTGATATCCATATGCTGATACTTTTCAAAAAAAGGCAAAATATCTGTTTTACTGAGCGTGCTGCCGGTGCGGCACATTACAGAGAGCTCTGCATCGCAGTTTCAACAGAGGAACACTATTCCACTGAGACTTCTTCTCCAAAGAGTGACTCTGAGACTTTCCCCACTCAGACGCCTTTGAACATTTCACAGGCTGGACCCTAATGACACAAGTGCTGTTGCGACCCTTCACATGTACAGATATCATGTCTAATGAGTGTTCTGATGAATGACAAAAGAAGACCAAAAGATTGCCATAAATATATGACAAAGTCTTGGGTTCTAAGTATACACCTAGGCAAAGTGTAGAAAAAGTCTCCTCCTGAAAAGGGGGTGAAAAAAAAGCGGGATTCTTTAGCACAACAGAGGAGCTGTTTTGCAATGCATGCGCGGCAGCACGGGGCCCATGGGGCCAACTAGGAGGCTGTTTCTCAGCTAACAAGTCTCCTCTGTATCATTTGATCATTTAAATTATTATGCCAGGAATTCTCAGGAGGCAGCTCGGCACTCCACATCACAGGGCTGTTTTTAATCTTCCCCTTCCCTTTCTTCCCCTCCCGAAAAGTTCAACAGCTCAGAGAGAGAGAGCTGCTCCTGTTGTGTACCTGCCTGCCGAACACCAAAGGAGGTGACTTCTAGTGCCAAAGCACAGAGAGGGAAGCTCAGGGGAGCTCCTTGACAAGGGGGGGAGGCGAGATGTGGAGCCACGTGCGCACACACACACACACACACACACACAGGCGCTTCAAAACTCTAAAAGAGGAGGAAAATCGCTGCTTTGCTGCACAAACTTTTTCTCCCACAGCTTTCATCCACTCATCTTAGACTTCTGTGAGGAACCCAATTGGATCCCTTCTTCAGTACCGACTGAAGTGACTTTTCATAAGAAGTTTGAGCCACAGACGTTTAAACTTTGCCAGATGCCACCGAGAGAATGCAAACTCCGACACCAGCAGGTCACAAAAATAAAACGCTCATCAGAGAGCAGAAAAACTTCTGCGCCGTGCAATTTGTTGAAATCCTGGCCGCGCATTGCAGCTCGCCATATCTGCATTTTCATCAGACAAAACATTTTTGGGGCCATTTAATTGATCAAGCTATTTTTTTTCCCCAGGACCGTTTACAGTCAAACATTGTCTGCATTCATTGTTACAGCAGCAGTGGAGATATTGCATCAGTCACACGGGACATCACTATTAGGAGCACAGCTCTTCTAAGACAAACAGGATGACTTAAAGCAGTGCTATTTCATCGACCCACTGTCACAGAAATCACTTTATCAGCCTCTTTCCCATATATCCTTTCAACTTTGAATGATCAAAGGACACAGCTTATGGTAAGGCATCTCTCACACATGGACAAGCCGGGATTACTAAACAGCAAGTAAAGTCAAATTTAAAGTGAAGGGATAGAACTTAAGTCTGTATACAAAATTAACCCCCGTCAAAGTAGAGCAGCGGGGGGGGTTCTCTCCGAGGAGCCAGGTTACCGCGGGAATGTCCACAAAGACTGCTGATAAGTTTAGAACAAGGCGGGTTAATTGACGCAGCGGACAGGAGGAAGTGAAGGTGTTCTCAGAGGCGCTCTGATTAGAAATCCACCAAGTTGAGTTGAAGAGAAGAAGTCAGAGTTCTGGTGATCGCTCACGTTCCATCAGGAGGTGTTGTGTGAATCAAGTGAGTCACATCACGCTCATGGTGAATAAACAATGTTTCTATGTCCTATCTTCAGAGGTCATGGATCAGGGGACAGACGCTTTGTTAAATCAGGAGACTGCTCAGATCCTGTTTCACAGCACACAGGTCCAGCTCACCCCCCCCCCCCCAAGAAGAGAAGGGTGACATCGAGGGTGAGTCATCGTGAGGGTATCACTTCACCCTGAAGAAGAAGCCATCCGTCATGAAAAGGATCCTAAAGCTTCATTACAGCTGTGTGGTCATCTTCACTTCTTTTCTTTCTCTTATAATAACTTTGATCCAAAGTCTCACACCATAATAATCTGAAATGTGATCTGTTGGCCCCCTCACCTTGGATGTAATTTAAACACTTAAAAGAAGAAAAAAAGATTTCTTGCACGACACAAAATAACTTTATAAGTTAAGAAAAGTTATTTCTATGTTTTAAAATAGTTATTTAGTATTCAATTATTTCAAATAAATAAAGTTTGAAAACACGATGCGCCTCTCAAGATAAAGGAGATGGTTTACAGGATTTATCTTGTAGACTGAACTGCTTTGTTACTTTTCAAGCACAAGTGAGATATTATCTTAGTAATTCAGGATTTATTAGAATAGTCACGTGCAGTCGAGGGAAAATATGAAGAATAAAAAGAAGAAATAGAAGAAAGTAAAAATGTGGAAGTCTGTCGGGCTGCTCCGTGCAAACAGAAAACTGTTTGTTTGTAACGTGCAGAGTCTGAGTCTGTATTTGTATCCACTCGTCCATCATTAAATCATAAGATTTAAAACTGTTTTATTTCTCTGATTCCAACGGGTTTTTTTTTTTACTGTCATCGCTTCTTCTCAACATTCACTCAGTAGCTCGTCCTCGACCACCGCACCCTCTCTCTCTCAAAAGAATCAGGTGGGCGGGGAAAGTTTCCTCCTTTTGGCTACGTTTGGCTAGAGTGTGTGTGTGTGTGTGTGTGTGTGTGTGTGTGTGTGTGTGTGTGTGTGTGTTAAACGTTATCATTTTCTATTATCTTTTTTTTACTCAGTAATTTGAAGGAGAATTAGAAATGATCAAAAGTGCAAAATACAAACGTTTGACTGAATCGCTGACTTTGATCAAAAGTTTGAAGAAAAACTGAAAAAGTTTGAAGTTTGACTTTTTATTTTAAAATACAGACATGACCGTTCACTCCCCATGGTCTGCATGTTGTGTTCTCTGAGTTTGACAGAATAATATTATTATAAAGGAAGAAGTGTGTGATCATCTACAGCGGCGTTATGACTGCTCAGATTTTTATGCCGAGAAATCCCGTTGATGTTTGCCACCCCGCCACGGGCACACCCTTTAGAATCTATTAAATATTTTGTTAAATTTTCACCTTTGAGGAGTCGCCAACACACGACCAAAAGTTGGACACAATCCGATAAAGCTCCGATTTCGTTCAAATGTTGCCTTATTTTGAAATTCAAATTAAAAATGGTGGACTTCCTGTCCATTTTTCAAGATGGCCGTTGTAGACTTTTTTGTTTGTCTCAACTTGATGCATGCGTCCACCAAGTTTCATGCATGTAGGTTAAATGCAGTGGCAGGGCTGATTGTAGGGGGGCGCTGTGGAGCCGGTTTAAGACGCTCCTGCTGAAAATATGATCACCTGTAAATGTCACCGCTGCTTGAATTTTGGGGAAATCTTAGTGAGGAGTCAAGCATGATCCAAGCCAATATTTTCCAAAAGAGGGTTCAAAAAGGGTCCTTGCGCCCGTTCGCTGCCCGGGTCCTAATCATAATAAACGCTGAAATTTGTGTACCCCCCCAAAGAAAGTTTTCAGACTCTGAATTGTTTTTGCACATCCTCAGCTGCATTGATATCGTGTTTCATCACTTTGGTCGAGTGGTTAATGAGGCTGCCACCCTGTAGCCTCTTCCTCGTGGTCACTGTGAAGTGGTTTCTGTGCTATTGCACATCTGAAGACGGGGGGCCGGTTTGTGGATCTGGGTGAGGTTTGACTCCAGGAGCCAGAGCCTGTCAGAGACTGGACAGCTCAGTGGACCTGCAGGTGGCACCAGGTTCAGGATGTGTGTTTAGGTGGGTGGGGGGGATGGTGCGCGCCAAGACAAGCAGGTGTGTCGGGGCGGTCCGTCTTGGCCCTGTCAGCGATACACCATCATTAGGCGGTGTGGGCGCAGCAGGGCGCACCATTATGTCTCCCTGGGCCCTGTGTAATTACGCTCTGACATAATTAACCCAGCAAGCCCATTAGCCGAGCATTGGCTGGCTGAAGAGAGGAGGGAAAAAAAACGCTATAATTATTTGTTGTGTGCATGTTAATGAGGCCAGCTGTGTTCCCATCATACAACACGAACAAATTAATTTACAAGGCTGTGCTCCAAGGTTTTTTTCTTTTCATTCAAAACAGTCTTGTTTTTTTTTTCCTCTGAGTGGACTTCAAGGTCCATAAACACGCTCCGCCGCCGCTGCTGCAACAAACAGTAACACTGCTGTAATATTGTTGTCAAGCACCCAAACTAGACTGAGAGAACACTTAGTCTCTACTTTCACCTTCACTGATGGAGAGAGGCATGTGGTATGTAGAATACACTGCTGCTGATATACCTCCACCTGTCAAGGATTTAGATTCCATTAGAAAGAAAAAAAACATAAACATGACTTTTGTGTTTGTAGAGCGTTTTAAAACCAACCAGCATTTGATATTCAGATAGCAAACCGAAGTCTCACTTCACCTTGATGTGGAGCAGGAATGAGAAAACACTAAAATAAAGAGATAGGTGGAATGAAAAACAAAAAAAAAATGATTGCGGGAAGCAGCTGGCTTTTGTGTGTGAACAAAACAAAAAGCTGAAAGAGAAAACTTCTTAACCTGTTCGTTTTCATAGCTGCTCCGACGTCTTTGTGTGACAGACAGAAGGACGGAGGAGAGACGACATCAATACCAACAGATTTTTAAAAAGCTCAGAACAAAGAGCGAAGATGGCACGTAAATTAAACACGAGATGCTGCAGAGAGAAGAGAAGTGCAGATGACATGCAAAACCAAAACTTTACATCAAAATGAAAAAAAAAAAACAACATTCTTATTTATGAGACATGTAAAACAAATCACAACGAATTAACCTCCACACACAGCCCTGCCTATTGTCTCACTATTTTTAAATCCCATGGTTACATCTCTAATCTGCTCTCAGGCACCTGCACACACACACACATTCCTACACACACACACACACACACACACACACACACACACACACACACACACACACACACACACACACACACACACACACACACACACACACACACACACACACACACACACACACACACACACACACACACACACACACACACACACACACACACACACACACACACACACAGTCTTTTAAGAGCACACTCTCGCCCAGTCCCTCTGGGGTCTCCTACTCCACGGGGATCAGTTGGAGAGGCATGGGCTCTTTTATGAACATAATGCATTATTAAGCACCTCAAACATCTCCTGGGCCTTCTGTTTATTACTGCTCTTATTAATCACTTGTGCATAATCTCGTCCCGCCCAGAGAGCTTTCATTTTCCATCAGCTTTCACATGTCGTTATTTTTCCAGGAGACTGCTGCCACAAACACACACACGGCTCTCTGTCCTGACTGTAGGTACTCAGCTGCAAAAATTACAATAAAGCCAGCCGAGCTGTGCCTGGCAGGCCTCTCCGGCTCGGGCTTGTTTGTGCACATGAAGGGTTGAAGAAGGACGACTATTCTTTATGTGTTTGAATGACTAAGGTCGCTGCATTCTCTCTGATCATGTCTTCAGCCCTGGGAGAAATTTGACTGCACTTATAAACCGCCTCATAACAAAGAAAGACATGAGACTTAATGTGACAAAAAAGCTGCTCTGCTCTGCACTATCGCCGGTCACCACTAGCAAGCGCTGTTGCCAAAACATTTCCACAAGCATGCACACACAAAAACACACACCTCAGACGTGCCGTAGGCAGAGCACATACACACACACACACACACACACTTGGAGGGGTGTATTCAGATCAGAATCTTCAGAAAGTCTCAGTGAGCTCCCCGCTCAGATAAAAGGATGTGCGTTCTAAAAGAGAGGGGGAGCGGAGAGGATCCTGAGGGATAAGTGTGTGTACTGAGAGGAGGCAAGGAAGAGCAAACACCTGGAGCGTCAGTCTCAGGGCTACGCCCCTGGCGACAGGGCCTCGGCTGCTCTCGCAGAGGTGGCAACAAACGCCGACTTTCAAACGCCACACACACACACACACACACACACACACACACACACACACACACACACACACACACACACACACACACACACACACACACACACACACACACACACACACACACACACACACACACACACACACACACACACACACACACACACACACACACACACACACACACACACACACACAGAGATGAGGAGGAGGAGAGGAAAATGAGAGCACGTTTAAAGGTGCATCTCTGGGAAACCGATACATTTTGGGCTGAAGCTGCCAAGGTTGTTTTAGATTTCAGTGATCAGGACGTGTTTATCTGCGCTGATCAAAACCGTGCGGAGGTGATATAAACATTGTTAGGGAAACACGATTAACGGGGCCTCTTTCAACCTCCTGACTGGGTAGGAGTTACAGCGCACAGCATGGGGAGATGTCACAAGCAAATCAAAATATGGAGCACTAATGAAAGACTCCAGTGGATTGACATTTTGGCTCAGGGGCCTCAGCAAAGAAAAACACTTCAATCAGCTGCGTCTAGAAGTTGTTTCTGTTCTGTTACAGTAGAACTTGTCTCTGAATTAACATCATCCTGCTGGACTCTCTCACAGAGATTTGTATTCTGATGTGCTCATTGCAAAGTGGATAACTGATATGTGACCAGATGTTAATGATTGCAGGATACAACAGGTCACATATTGAGCTGCGTGTGCGTGTGTGTGTGCCCCTCCCCCCTCCTCGCCTCGCTCATCCTGTGCATTCATTAACTCCACTGTTGGCCTCTTCTGATTGGACCAGAGGCCGTGGTGTCGGCCACACAGAATGAGGCCGTACACACACACACATTGAGAGAAAGGTATACTCTCAGATGAAATAACAGGAGAGAGAGAATGAATAGTAATAACTGCATTAAGATTAACGAGCATGGGCTGTAAAGAATAATTGCGTCTGTCAAAAGATTAAAAATACATGAGCTGTGGCGTTTGTTTGGGGGGGAACGGTGAGGATGCTGGCCGCTGTGTTTGAGGGGCAGAGAGAGAAATGAATCGGGGCGACGGCCAAATGAGCGTCCTCCAGAGTACCTGGAGTCATCCATTCAAACACGGGGAGGTGCTGGGAGAGGGGGGAGTGTGACCTTGGACACTCACAGCAACATATACAGTGACAAACAGGCTGTGTATGTGTGTGTGTGTGTGTGTGTGTGTGTGTAGTATATGATACTGGTTTAAATACTTCAGTTTATCATTTTTTGGCATCAGAATTTGTTTTGAGATCAATCATTTAAGAAGTGCTTCATTACATGTCTTATCATAAACTAACTAGGGTGAGGGTTAGAACTTTATTCTACTGGGGGGGGGGGCCTCTGGTCCCGCATGTCGTTCCCTACTCTCTCTCTCTCCCTGATCAATCAATCAATCAATCAATCAATCATTATTATTAATACAGTGTAATTCATAACAGAGTCTTTACTAAAAAGCATATGAGATAATAAGCAGGAAGGATTACTTCTTTGGATTCCTCACGTTCCTGTTCTTCCTCACCGCTGAGGTGGAGGTTGGAGCAGGTCGAGGGTGAATGAGGACGACTTCTGGATGTTGTCTGTATTTCATCTTGAACGTCAGTGGTGAAAACTTCAAGTTTATCTATCATAAAATTTTGAAGCTGTGTTCACACCTGTAGCTCGTCTGCTTTATCTCATTCAGGTGATGACCCCTTGGGGTCTTTTTGTGGTCACACAATATTTTAGAGCGGGCCAAAGTTCTGGATGCTGGGTCCATTTCAATCTCACTGCGAAAGAAGCGCTCCATGGTTCCTTTATGTAGCGAGTGGAGACGCCATCTTGGCTAACTTGTTAATATCCTCATCAGAGTGGATTACTGTGTTCACACACGACCCCGTTTCAGAAGAACTTCTCTAAACACTCCAGGTCCAGTGGGCCTCTTTGTGCACCCAGACTCTTTTGAGGGTGAGACAGCATGGCACGGTGGCTACAGGTGCAGAGGGCTTGTCTAAGCCAAAAGAAGATCAATACACGTTCAGCGTGTCATCTCAGCTGGAAAGATGACATCATCAGATGGTAATCCTCCAGAACCAGCTCCTCATGTTCACCATGGATGTTCTGGAGAGAGCTGCGAGCACTCAGCCTCCAAAGCAGGAAGCTACTTTTCAGACCACCATATCTCTTCTTCTTCTTCTCTTATTAATCATGTTACATGCAGACGTGCACGTTCAGATTTTAAAGTCTTTTAAAGGAACTTTTTCAGACACAGTTACAAAAAATAATGCACCTCTTATCTAACGACTTCATCAAAATACTGTTCAAACATGTTACATTCAGAACATGTGTACAATGTAACAGTGAGGGCCTGATGTTTGTATTAATACGTCATAAGGAACTGGGACAACACATGGAAATTAGCTAGCTAGCTAAATCTGGTACAAAGCATCTCTTCTCTTCTGAGGCCAATGTTTTTTTTTGTACACTGTCCCTGCTTCAAATAAACGATTAAACTAAACTAACATCACTGTGCAGGCTTCGCTGACCTCAGAAGACGTCATTTTGTGAGAGTCTCACCACTAATATTTTAGTCCCAGAAACTTACAAAACGTACTCGCAATTTGTCTCGTCTTAGTCATGGAAAAACAAACATTTATCATCTTATTTTTGGTTAATAAGACGAGCACTGGTTTCCAGTTGATGTTGGGACTCATTTATCTTAAAACACTGGGAGTTGAGTCCGTTCTGGTCTTCAGAAAGTTTCATAAGAAAATGCCTCCCAGAAGACTCGCCTTAAGGCCTCCATATGAAAGGTATAGGTCAGAAAATCTAACTGACTACATCTTCAAAGAATCAGATTTCTTATCAAGAAAGTAGCTCCATTCAAAGTGTGTGTGTGTGTGTGTGTGTGTGTGTGGTGCTGCAATATCAAGCAGAGAGCACTTCAAGGGAAAATAGAGACCTTTAAAAGTCAGTTGCTGCGATGGCTTTTTCTGTGACTCAGACTTTTATGTGGTATTCATTGAATGTGTAAACAGCATTCTCTCCTCCTGCCACAAGTGTTCTTCTGATCTACGCTGAGTCTCCTGCAACACAGAGCAATACGCTACATGTGCCCTGACATTGAAATAAACAACTGAATAAAGTCACAACGCGTCTTTCCCTCTAACTTACTGTCTGTGCCCCCCCCCCCCCCCATCAGCCTCATCAGGCCTCATGCGTTCCACACGAAGCCAGACTTCAGTTGGGATTTTAATTGGCTCTCCACAATCAACAGCCGAGCTCCTCAAGGATGTGTTCGCTCCTCAGCCGGGCTACACTCAAGGACCAATACTGGATTTTGAAGTGGCCTCACGCAGAGTTTTTGGAAACCACTCTGAGAGCGCAGACTTTGAAAAATAGATAAGAGCCACAGGGGTGTGGGGGGTTTTATGCATATTACATCCATGTGCTGTAGCTCCATATCGCCGCATGGCAAAGGAATGACTTTACAGCCGTTAAATGTTGCTTCATGTACATGATTTATGTCTGTGTGTGTCCGTAAAGGGACGGTCCAGAGAGAGAGGTTTGAAGGAGAATCTATGTCAGGGGAGGAAGTCGTGTGTGTGTGTGTGTGTGTGTGTGTGTGTGTGTGTGTGTGTGTGTGTGTGTGTGGCTGGTGTTTAGTGGGAGACTCACCTGGGGCCTCGATAAGCTGTTTGTAGATTCCCAGGAATGCAGACTCGGCCTCCTTACTGCGCTTGTTCAGAGCAACCACCTGCAGGGGAGAAGAAGACGACATTAAAGGTAAACATCCTGTCGTGTGTGTCGACAAACAAATCACAGCACATTTACATATCGGACATTAATTGAACACTTTTACAGAGAGCGGGAAAAAAGCTAAAAATCTTCAATTGCTTGCAGTGAATCGATGGAGAGCAGAGCAGAGGTCAGCCTCAAAAACATCCCTCCAATAAATGAAACAGACACTCTGCTTATGTACTGGAGCGTTAGTTTGTATGACTGAGACATTCTGTGCAGCGCTGCTTACACATTACCACAGACTACCAGGAGAACATGTTAGAATATATGTGGATATTCTCCCCGTGCAGCGAGCGAGCTGCTGAACGTTGTGAGGTGACATTTGGCCTGGTAAATGTAGGTGACGGTGTTTGTGTGAAGGCACTCAGCATCTGCTATCCTCGGCTCTGCGGGTGACGCAAACCAATTAACGATTCATTAGGAGGGACAAAGAAAGCGAATTAGCCACCACCTGGCCCCATGGAGAGGGCACCTGCACTAGTGGGTATGTGGGTTACTCCGGCTTCAGCTCCCACTAGGACCAGTCAGAGGACCGTCCTCTGCTCTGCAACAGTAAATCAGATCAGGCTCCTACAAATGACCCCCCCACTCAGAGAGCAGACGGAATTCAAATGATTGTCATCTATTGTCTGTGTCGTTTCTGTCACTGTCGATTACAGCCTCTGTTGGACGGGCTCGATGTGCTGAGGGGTCAAGGCTGAGCCATGGCTGCTCCTTTCGGTGTGGCCATACTTGAATGAAAAACATCCGGCTGAAAACACTTAGAGCAGTGCTTCCCAAAGTGTGGGCCACCTGGTGGGCCGTGTGGGTACTGCGGGTGGACCGCGAAAAGCCCTCCACCAATTATGAAAATAAAATAAATATCACAATAATCATGATTTACCATGAGTGAACCCTTTAAGTGATTAGTAAGGCGTGTCATGACTATTCATGGGCATAATGTTCAGTAAACTTTGTGTCTCTCTTGCCATAATATCATGTTGTCATATCCAATCATTTACCCTTACTGAAAGTTATAGCTGTAGTCATAAAATAAAATGTATAATGGGCCCTGGAGTAATTTAGTATTTCAAAGCGGGCCGCGGCAGTCTTAAGTTTGGGAAAGGCTGACTTAGAGGAATGGTGGTGGTGTGTTGGGGCTGTTTAGTAGGGTTATAAATAAGGTGTGTGCAAACAGCGAGGGGAACGGAGGGCCTTTGATATACTGGAAATGGCTGGCCCTCCTCCCTCGGGAGGCATAACGACAGCATCATGTTTAAAGAAATATCATAAAGATCAAGCAAATCCCCCCCATCACTCCCACTCAGAGCCGCTCAGAGGAGTTCATGGAAATGGAAAAGGCTGGAGCACAATCAATACAGATCCAATAGTCTGCAGCTCTCAGCCTGCTCCCTGCTACACTATGCTGTTGTCTCACTCAGCTATACCCCAATTCACCCCCCCCCCTCCTCCGACACACACTAAGCTCCATTTAAAGCACCATCCCCTCTCCCCTCCTTTCAGGACACGATGTTAACGTTCATTCACAAACGGTGAAAATGTGAGAAGCACCACAGCTACATGAACACAGTATCCACACGGGTTATGAGTTCATAAACACCTCTGCACCTTTAAGAAAAAGCTAAAGACCCAGCTCTTTCATGAATACCTACTAACTAAATGATGATGGTCTCCATATTATTGATGATGATGATGGTAATGACGATGGTTTTTGTTTGATAACGATGACTTATAAGATGGTTTCTATACTGATTAGAGCTCTCAAGAACTGCCCTCAATGTTGTGCTTTGCCTCTGGTCACTTCCTGTCAGCACCTGTGTGTCCAATCAGACTCAAAGTTGATCGTTTGCTCTTACTGACATTGTTCCCTTTTTTCTAGATCCTTGCTTGTGTTGTACTTACTCTCTGATCTACGTCACTTTGGATAAAAGCGTCTGCTAAGTGAATTGTAGAATTGTAGAATAAACAGCGTTGGTTCAGTTCAGCGTTACTGAGGAGAGACTGTTGTGTGTGTGTGTGTGTGTGACACTCTCACCATGAACTCAAGCTACTTCAGTTTCACCGTGAGCCAATAACAAACCTGAGCTCTCAGGCTTAACATCCAGCAAAGCCCCTAAAGCAGTGTGACATCCAGACAAACTGTTATCAACCTGAGCTTACATTTGAACTACACGGCCACTACAGCAGGGCGGCTGAACCCACCCGCTAGTCATCAACTTTTCAGTGACAGTCTGCTGGCCGGGTCTGTGCTTCCTCTCTAACATATACATCAAGTAAGGCGCCCCTCTGCATGTGTAAAGAGCCTGAGATCCTGGGGAAGGCTCCTTCTCCCAGAGACTCTCTCGGGGGTCTCCAGACCCTCCATCATCCTTTAACGAGAGAACACAGAGATTACCTCCACAATCACACCATTAACCTGCCTACAGACGCTGGAAGAGACATCAATCACACGCCTGCCTGATGCCTTTACACGTTGGTATAGATACACCCCCCCCACCCACAACCCACCCCATGCTATCAAAGCACTCCGAGGTGTGGTGCATTAATACGGGCTAATCAGGGAGTCGTCTTCATCTCCATGCTAATCCAACATCTAGCATGGCACTGGGGTTCAAAGATATGAGGATGTAGAGAAGGTGAGATAGAAATACAACTGGCAAATCTTTTCCCTTCTTTTTGGATGCAGGATATGGCTACAGCCCCCCCCCCCCCCCCCCCCCCGACTTCCACTCACAGCATTCTTTGTTTTCACCCGTTTTGTGATAAAGGATATGGCCACCATGGGAATGGGCTGGGCCACAGGTTGGTTTTACAAGCAGGAAGTAAAAGCCTGGGGCAGAGAAGCCGTAGAGAGAGAGAGAGAGACAAAGGAAACCTGTTAGCGCTCCTCCATAACTCTTCATGCAGCAGCAGCAGAGTGGGCAGCACACACCGCCTCTGGGACAAGGTTGCTGCTACTGCTGGGAAATACTTACTGAGAAGCCTTTGAGGATACTTACAGTACCCGCTAGTGAGGCTGCTGTGTTTGTGTGTGAGACGACGAGCTAACATACGACGGGTAGAGAGACATAAATGAAGGAGGAGGGAACACATCAAGTGGGGGGGGAGCTGAGTGAAGGGCTTCTGAGAGAGACAACGGGAAAGAGAGGTTCCCATAAAAAGTGCAATTAGCAATTATGCAGTCATCAATTACAATTATCACAACTGGTGATTATGCAATTATCACTCTAAATCATGGTTTTCCCCCCACTGCCTTACCAGTTTGCCCCCCCCTGTGATTTGGTTGTTTGGGGATGGGACGTGATGATGCAGGTGATTAGAGTGTGAGATGATGAGGGAGATGTTGGGCGTGCGTGAGAGCAGACTGTATCTGTGTACACACTGAGGTTTCACTCTCTCTATTTTACGTGTACGTGTGCGTGTGCGTGTGTGTGTGTGTGTGTGGATTTCAAGGTGAATGTGGCTGGTGGTGTGGGTGCTGTGGGGACAGTAAATGTATGGTTCCACAGTCCCTGAGGCCTCTAAATTACCTGTCATCTTCCCCATGATGCAAAGGTCAGTGCACAATCATAGGGAGTCCATCCGACTGCGCTGCTCGCCGAGCGCCGGTCCAGCCCACAGGCTGACAGGATGTCACAACAACCCCCGATCCCGCTCCATGCTTATTAGAACAAAACAGTGGGAAGCCCAACACCACCACAACACCACTTGTCACAACACCTTCCTGAAGAATCCACTGGCACCCTGACAAACGCTCCGTCCTCGGTGTTACAGAAAATAATGTGAAAATGAGGAACGTCCGTCGATGCTCCTCCATTCAAATAAATATATTTTATATTTCTATACATTTCTACAAAGGAATGTTAGGGCCACATTGAGGGGGAGAAAATCTGAGATTTCAACATCAAAGTCAAAAATTTAAGAGAATAAAGTTGTAAATTTAAAGTAAAGTCAGACATTAAAGTTGTAAGAGAATTAAGTCGTACATTTGGAAGAATATCGTAAATTTACAAGAATAAAGTTATAAGAGATTAAAGTCGTAAAGAATAAAATAGTAAATTTAAGAGATTAAGGTCGGAAGAGAATAAAGTCGGAACTTTAAGAGACTATCATACATTTCAGAGAATAAAGTCGTAAATTTATGAGATTAATGTCGTAAAGTCGTAAATTTAAGAGATTAATGTCATAAAGTCATAAATTTAAGAGATTAATTTAATCCCGGACAAAGGGAGGAAGTAAAACAAGAAACACATGGGACAAGAACTACAAAATAAAACAGGAAACACTAAAGACACACAGAAAATGTACCAGTAACCATACACACAGGAAGTAGAGAAACACGAGGTTAAGAAATTTCAAAATAAAACAGGAAACACTAAAGACTAAACTAGAGAAAAACTCATGAAGGGAAAAGAGAAACAATAGGAGAAGAACTACAAAATAAAACAGGAAATACAATTATACCGGATATTAACGCAGGGATTAAAGCAACACGAGGGATGAACACTAAATAAAAAGTGAAATTAACAAAATGTAAAACCAAACATGACCAGTTCATGACATGATGCTTGTCTCCCTTTGTGTGTATCTTTATTATTTTATTGTTTTATTTCCACGTGTAGTTCTTTATGGTTTCCCTCGTGTTGATTTATCCCTCCACCATGTGTATTTTTATGTTAATGTTTCTGGCTTAAGTTTTCACAGTTTCCTGTTTTAGTTTGTACAATATTTCTTGTTTCCTTTTTGGAATTTTAAGTTTCACTATGAACTCTGGAAGAAGTACATGTTTTTGCCATTTGTTTCATAAAATCTTCATGTGGGTCCTCTAAAGCCATTTTCACTCCTAACAGTTCTGAATTATAATGATTGACCTATTTAAAAAAGTAAGATGAATCTGCACACCTGATTCTGTTTTTATTTATTTTAAAATCAAATCAAGAAAGACCGCTGCAGTCC